AAWMWMTCCTCCTTCAGGATCAACATATCCGCCTTCAGTGTTTGTTTCCAGTGTCTGGTTGGAAACCGTGGAGTATCGGGGAGCCGCTTCAATCGACTCTCGTTTGTACTTGTCTCTTGCAGATTCAATGCTCAAATGTTTGTCACGATCTGTTCCAGTTGGAGGGACTCTTGGTCTTCTGTACGGGGCAATGTCTTTCTCTGGGTCGCTGGAAGTCGGCTTCTCTGGATCGTGACTGGGTGTGTCTGTAGATGGAGACTCAAGCGTGTCGTCATTTCCATCCCTAGGATCGTCTTTCTCATCAATTCGATCCATTATCGCTGCTGGTTCTGATGCTCAATGTGCTTGTTAAGCAATTCCACGGCTCTTTCGATCAATCCGACACTTTGCTCCTCCTAATCACCACAGTCCCTCGCAACAAGACATCCTTCAAATCGACCAAGAAATACTCGAGAAGGTAGAACAAGGTACCTGAGAGCGACGAAAAGCAAGATGTAGCACCTCCTTCCGGCCCGGTTCTCTCTCTCCTCTTCCCAAGCACCGGGCACGACTCAAGTCCAGAATTCACCCGTTTCACCACAACTTCGGCGTTGCTGGCACCTGTAGTCTATACAGTTCTTCTGAAACGCAAGGAAAGCCTTGCTAGTCAAGACCAGGGAATGCTGGGTTTGATATTTCGCTCCATAGTTTACGCTCCTCCATACTTGCAGATCATGATTTCATCGTTCCGGCACACCCGGAGGAAGAACTTTGTGGCAGACGACATTCAGTTCCACGCTCCGAGGAGTGTGTATTCTCCTCTTTGCGAGAAAGAATAGAGGTTTGGAAGCGCATTGATCAACATGTGGGGATTGATGCGATGATCGTGGATTGAACAGGGATATTGAATCTTGTAACCCTGTCAAGCGGGGACGTTTGCGATGCGTTTCTCAAACACATCCGAAGCAGCTCACAGGAAAGAGGTCCGGCGTGCCGAGTCGGCGACGGCGCCATGTCCGGACTGTTGACCGCTGGTCATACAACCTGGTGGCCGTCAACAGGACCAAAGTCGATGAATTGTGATACGGATGAGCTGCCATGGCATCATTAGGAATCCGAGCGAGTTGGAMACGATTGTGCGAGAGTCATGAGGCTGCGGTGCTGCCACGCTGCTGTCCAAGTCTCAGAGGACGCCACATACTTCGATATCATGGCTCTTATCCACTGCAGGAGCTTCAAATCCAAGATTCGGCCAATTCAACATTGTCACCGTCAGCAATTGTGACCACGGATTTTTGAGCCCGACGCGAGGATCTGGGGAGATCTGCCTCAACCCCGGTCTTGGCATATAATCCTTGCCGCATACCATCGATCTAGTAGCAAGTACATCCATGACATTTTCGTCTACACACTTTCCGTCTATGCACTTGCCAGACAACTCGGCGGAAATCTTCTTCGGAAACGCACGTGCATCTGTACTCAAAGCGGCTCAAGCCATGTGATTTTGCAACACAGCGGTCGTATCTGGAATTTATCGGGTTAGGGTTGGGGTAGTGGCTTGCAAGCAAAACAAAGTGCTCCAGTGGAACTTCAAGCTGTCGACTCCTTCAAGACAGCGGAGAGACATGGTAGATTCATATGGGCAATCACTGATAGTCAGTGGAGAAGAAGAAGCGCTGGCCGTTAACATGGGAAGTTTTGAATAGTGCAGCAAGAGAATTTCACGAGAGCACGATTCTCGGAAGTATCAACCAACTGATGCATTGGAAAAATTGGTTGATTCATTCATCATCGATAGTCGTCATGTACATCACAGAGAATCCCAGATAGTCTCATCAGTGTTCGTCGAGTGGCCAGCACTTTTTGACACCACCCTCATCCTCACATCTTTAATCCCGTTCCCCTATCCACTTTGATTGGTATAATCTCTTTATCACTCACCCAATTCGCATCCTCTCTATCGTAAAGGTCGGTCCAAGTGAAAACAGACCAATCACAGACCGGGACTCTGAGCACAGCATCTTGAAGATCGGGGTACGAGCCGCTTTTCTTCAATGCAGTCTCTAATGCGAAAAGGGCGACCTTCGCGTCATATGTTGTGTTGAATGCACCATCGCCGAAACAAAAACGTACGTCTCTGAGTGAGCGACGGTGGGAGGGGGCGAGGGAGTCGCTGTGGAAGGTTAGTGTTAGCCAGAGATCGTTGGAGCGGAGGAGGCGAGTTTGACATACAGCCATCGACATCCCAAGCCTGGAAATCCCCATGGTAGAACGAATATATTACTGCCATAATAGATTGGCGCTGCTTCCTTGCGGATTCGAGAGCAGGTTTGGAGTAAAAGGGACACTCGAGGGAGGTTCGATCTCTTGTTATCGGGAGAATGGGAGGAAACTGAGTTCCTTCGAGCAAGAGCATGAATCTCGATTGGTTCTGAAGAAATGAGAGCGTAGCCGTAGATGATACGTCGAATGTTGAGGGGAAGGAGCATGAGGCGTGAGGTTGGTTCATCTTTCTTCTGCATAGCAAGTTGAGTCTTGAAGTGGGTATGTTCGGTGAGAACGAGGGGTTTGATCAACATTGTAGCCATTTTGGTGAGAGTTCAAATCGATTTCTGAAGGAAGACTCCTGGAGCAGAACACTCGACCTACATGTATACCACCTCCTACAGTACGTCTCACAATACGAGCGGGCTTCATGCGGAACATGTCGGACAGAAGACATGCTTCGATGTAGAGGAGCTGTCGCGATGCCTGAAGCTTTTCACAGTGCCGGACTATTTCCTGGAAGAGGGCAGCTCTGTGAGTCGTGGGCTCGGGCTCATGGAGAGCCAGGACAGCTAGCTGTGGTACGTCTATCATTCGAGTACGGCACGTTCCAGGCCAGCTTCTTGCAGGCGCCATCCCGACCTGTCTTCCTGGTCCGAGGTGTTTCGCTATCGAGCCAGTCGTGATGTGAGGATTACCTGCAGTCTCGATGTCATCGTCGTAGTGAGATCAGAGAAGGAGAGGGGAGAGATGCGGGTGAGATCGGATCTGATAAACAATTCGCGCTCCACCGAGGCGTTTCGTTTACGCAACGACGACGCGTTCTCCCCGTCCTGTCATCGCTCGCGTAAGATTTCTTACCTCGTTGGATGTTCTTTCTTTTCTTGACTACACGTCTTCCACCGCGCCTTCCTGTTGACTATGTTTGTCGATTGAACGCCTGCAATCCCTGCTCTTGAGGGGAGCTGCTAGCGTGGCAAGGAAGGAGCGATGGCACCATTTCCAACTCGGTGATGGCGTCCCTCTGCTTCGGCGTGACTGGACGGCCAGTCACACCCACCAGACGACAATCCATGAATCGCATCCTCACCGCAAACATCTTCTGGTGTTCTATCGCTTGAGACAGCAACGATAACTTACTGCCGATACAGCGTATCTCAGACCAGCAGAAACATACAGGCACCTGCGAGAGGATTTGAAGCAACATGGCACACCGAGACCCCGATCTCCACAACGCCATCTCGTTGAGGCCATCGCCCTTCCATCCCCATCCACAGCCGCATAACGAGCGATCGTCTCGGAACCATACGCCAGACCCAAGCCATTCACAGTCCCCACAGAAACCCGCCGCCAGCTCTGCTGTAGAGCCTGTAGGCAGCAACGACATTCATGTCCGTCCCAACGCCTACCACCGCAGCAGCAGTGACAGCGAACGCGATGACGTTGAGCGCCAATCTCCCAGCATGGCCACAGCAGGAGACCCTTTCAAATTGCGGGACTCGTTGAAGAACATCGCCGAAGAAAAGCAAGCTCGTGCAAACACCAAAGCGAAGCRAACTTGTCAGCCTGTCACCGCGGGCAAGGACAAGCATCAATCCCACAAGATTATCGCCTTTTACGAGAATCAAAACGAGAAAATCGAACGATTGTTGAAGCCTGTCGACGACCATGTCAGAGAGGCCAAGGAGGAACAGGGAGCGGATGCGTTGCAGTACAAGATCGCAGTGATGGGTTCCTTCGCCACGAATATTGCTCTGGCGATTTTGCAGGTCTACGGTGCGGCGTCTTCGGGCAGTTTGTCGTTGTTCACGACAATGGCGGACTCCATCTTTGATCCGGCGAGGTATGTTGTGTTGAGAGTCGCTCGGCGCGGGCGTGTATTGATGACTAGCCCAAGACCATCTGCTGACTCTCAATCAGCAACCTCACCCTCATCCTCTGCCATCGAGCCGTCAACAAGGTGGACCCTCGAAAATTCCCATCTGGCAAAGCTCGCCTTGAGAATGCCGGAAACATTGCATTCTGCTTTCTCATGACCGCCGTCTCGCTCGTCTTGATCGTGCTGTCAATCAAGGAGCTTGTTGAAGGCAAGRAGGATGTCAAGTTCCACTACCCGTCTGTCATCGCGGTGGGAATCGCTTTCTGCGCGAAGCTCACTCTCTTCGTCTACTGCTGGTCCATAAGGAWCAAGTACTCGCAAGTCAGAATTCTTTGGGAGGTGAGTTATACGACTACTGCAATGCTTGACCGATTGAAGACTAAATGTATCATAGGATCACCGCAACGACCTCTTCATCAATGGTTTCGGTCTGATGACCAGTGTCATGGGAAGCAAGATTGCGTAAGCCTCATTCCCCTCATGCGCTGAGAATTACGGTCCTAACATTCGACGCAGATGGTGGATAGATCCCGCGGGTGCCATCGTCCTATCAACCCTAATCTCAGTGCTCTGGCTCCGCACCGCCATATCCGAATTCCTCCTCATCATTGGCATAACCGCAGACACGGCTTTCCTCCAACACGTCACCTACATTTCCATGACACACGATCCTCGCGTCATCAGCTTGGATACTGTGAGAGCCTGGTACTCTGGTCCACGAATCATCATTGAAGTGGATATCGTGATGGACCAAGAATTAAGCTTGAAGGAAACTCATGATGTCGCCGAAGATTTGCAGATGAAATTGGAGAGTCTACCGGATGTGGAGAGAGCTTATGTGCACGTTGATTATGAGACGGAGCACTCTCCCGAACACTTCTTGAAGAAGGAGTTGTAGTATACTCAGTAAGCGCTGAGGTCTAGTCGGTCCCCTCTGGTATTGGGTAGTTAGAGTAGGGGTCAGGGAAGGCGGGTACGAATTATGATATTGATATTCTGCTCTGCAGGAGCTCAAGGCGGACGAGCATGCTATATGTAGTAGTTTTCTCCTTGGATTGGCTGGACCCACCTACACGAACTCGGGATTTCTTCGTGAGAATAGGCAGGTGAAGGGCAGGAACTTCGACCTCGAAGAAACAACCTCCAAACSACAATCTCAGGACATTCATCCTCTCCGACTATTCACAACTGCCGATGTTGCTTTCCTTGATCTTTCAGCTCAGTGGATGTATCCCAATCTGACCATTTGGCCCCACCTCCACCACCGTTCGGCCCCACTGCCTACGTCGTCTCCGCTTGCTCGCAACCCATCCTAATTGGCTGTACCTTGCAGTTTTGATCATGAACCACATCCACAATAGATCTTGGCTCATCGCTCATCGCCTGCGAGGCTTGTCACATGTGAAAGCGCATCTGCGAGAGGTCGGCAGAAGATGTGGAGTGGAGTTGGCGGGGCCACGGTAGATGCTCGAGCTCTGTTAAAATCCAATTCCTTTTCTTCTCTCACGTCAGACGTCGTCGTTGTGCTGTGGTTGATTTGCTCTTTCCTCTCCATCAAGGTCACCAGCAAGCTGACTTTTCTAATTCATACATATTATTGAAGAACAGGGGCATCATGTCAGCAACAACATCTTCTTCTTCTTCTTCACAGAGGTCTCCTCCTTTTAGGGCTGAGCATATTGGCTCTTTGCTTCGGCCGGAGAAATTGATCAAGACGAGATATGCGATTGCGGATGGATCTGCTGGGCCCGAGACGCTGGGTCCTGTGGAAGAGAAGGCTATTAGGGATGTTGTGAAGTTGCAGTTGGATTGTGGCATTCAGAGTCTTACGAACGGCGAGGTGAGTGAATGATGTGGTATTATCCTTGAAACTAGGATATGATTTGCTAATGACCGGGTGATATAGTATTCGCGGCATCAATTCTGGGGTATGAAAGGCTCAAATACGCGTATCGGGTGGGAAAGATGACTGACGATGGCCCAGGCACCTTCATGGAAACCCTCAACGGAATGGAAGAGATCAATCTGCGAGAAGGGGGCTACGATCAATCGATTTTCAGAATGTACGCCCCGGACGTGGAATCTTTCATGCACGCGAAGACCATTCCGAACCAAGTGACTGTTGCGACTGGGAAACTCTCGCATACTGGGAAGAGCACTTTCTTGCCTGAGCTGGAGTTTATGAAGTCCATCCTACCGGAAAATCAGTGGAAGAGTATTAAGTTGACTATGACGAGTCCTTCCTGGTAAGTCATGATCTAGTTGAAGGAGGTCGTGATGGTTGCTGATGAGTATGTCTCACTATAGGTATCATTTCCGCTACGGACCGAAGAAGGCCTACCTCAAGGGTGTCTACGAGAATGATGACGAGTGAGTGTTATCCATGACCCCAAAACTCGCACCACATCTAATACTCTCTAGATACTTCGCAGACCTGGCCAAAGCGTACCAAACAGAGCTCAAAATCCTCTACGACGCCGGTCTTCGAAATGCTCAAATCGACGACCCAAACCTCGCTTACTTCTGCTCGGAATCCATGCTCGAAGGCTGGAAAAATGACCCAGAGAACTTCCAAACTGCAGACGAACAACTCGACGCTTACATCAAATTCTACAACGCCTGTATCGTGCGCGAACCAGACTTCCACATGGGAATTCACCTCTGCAGAGGCAACTACATGGGATCCAAACATTTCTCCGAAGGAGCCTATGATCGCATCGCGACCAAACTCTTCAACGACTTGAATGTTTCGACCTACTATCTCGAATACGATACTCCTCGCGCAGGAGGTTTCGAGCCGTTGAAACATCTCCCCACGAACAAGAATGTGGTGCTGGGAGTTGTGACGAGTAAATTTGCGGAGTTGGAGGTGAAGCAGGAGATGATTGAGAGGATTCATAAGGCTGCTGATTACATGGCTGAGGGAGCAGGTYAGACGCGTGAGGAGGCTCTCAAGAGGATTAGTGTCAGTCCGCAGTGTGGCTTCGCGTCCCATGCCGAGGGTAACTCGTTGGAATGGGGAGACATGAGGAATAAGTTGGAATTGGTGAGGAGTATTGCCGATGCGATTTGGCCTGGCGAGCCGTGAATTTTTTTTCGACAAAGTGGAAGCCTATGTCGGGATCTGAAGTGTAGTAATACATCATCAAAGGATTCCTCTTGCTAGTTTCGAACTCAATGTTACCTCCTCTCCCTCCTGCTCCCATTTCCATAATCCGGCGATCTTCGACGAGGAGGCCCCGATCTCTCATAAGCTTCATAATGATAGGAGGAGGCAGGATACGACGTGCCCCTTCTCTGGTCATCATATCTTCCACTCCCGTTATAGATATCGTGCTCTCTGCGGCTCCTGCGGAAAGCCTCCCCGGACTCTTTGAACCGGCGAGGTTCGCGCGGCGCTTTGTCAACAGGATCCAGATCATCACTGGAGATGCGTGGACGTTTATGCTGGTCTTCTGCTGAGGTCGATCTTGATTGGCTGTGCCGTATGAGCTCCGCAGGTTCTCTGGAGATTCTAGCAGAGCGATCGAAAAGCTCCATGGGCTCTTTCCGCYTCAACGATCCGGAGACCTGTTCAATGGGGCTGCGGGGTGTCTCTGGTCCCATTTCTCTGGGAGAAATGTACTCGTCGTTTGTCAGAGCGGGCGTTTGCACCGAGCCCACTTCGGAGACCATATCGGTGCTGATGCGACGAAGGGGTTCCCTCACAGCTGCATCAGGCTGTGGAATTGGTGCCACCATGACTGCAACTGGGGCAGGTCGCGTCGTCATCGGTTGTGTTCGAAGCCGTGGATCGGGAGTGGTAGTCGATACGGGTTGTTCGACACGCTTCGGTTCCGCTTCACGTTCCCGTGCTTCTCCACGATCCCGTTCTTCATCACATTCGCRTTCTGCTCTCTTTGCCAGGGCTATATCACGCCAACTAGGTACGCCGTGCACCGTCAAGGGCCTGTAAGCGGTTCCAAGAATATCGCGCCCCGAGCCTCCCTCGGTAATACTGACACCGGCATCTTCAAAAGTGTGCCGTTCCGGCTCCTCTTTGACTACGAGTTGCTTCGCAAAACCACGACGCAAAAGTCGGCCGTCGAAGAAGATCTCCATCCTCGTATCGGCGATGCTTCTGTAAGGGCCGATAAGTGCCTCACCCTTCGTCTCGCTTTCGATGCCTATGATCTTCTCCACCTGAGCTGATCCTATCCACTCATGCTTGGGTAGTGGCCGAGGGATCACCCAGCCGTCGTAGCGTAGTTGGTATCGATGATCAGGAAATTCCTCGTAGGCCTTGTACAGAATGCGTCGGTCCTCGTCGCTAAAGGCATCCCTTGCGAGGCGGATGGGCGAGGTTGCAGTTGTGGCTGATCGATGGCCTGCTAAAACCTCCCTCTCTGCAGCGGCGTGCAAAGTGCTTTGCGCGTGCTGTACAGCAGCGTCTCGCTCTGCTGTCAGGCTCTTCGCCTTTTTGAGAAGAGACTCGATTTGAGCAGCCCAATGCCTAGCAGATGTCTCTGCATCCTCAACCTTCTTGCGAAGTCTGGCGCAGTCGTTCTTCGAAATTGCAAGCTTGCCAGTATACGCCATGATATCCTTGCGCAGTTGGTTGTTTTCGCCTTCGCGTGTATCTGCATCTGCGTCTAGTGTCGTGCGCATGGTTTTCAGATTCTGCTCCAGAATGGCCAGCCTAGCATTCTTCTCTTCAACGCGTTGCCCATAGAGATCCCGGGATTCATTGATCTCAGTGTTCTGCTTCTCCAGAAGAAGCTTACTCTGATCAATCTCGGATCTCAAATCCAGAATTTGTTTCAAGTTCACTTGGTCGGCCGACTCAAGCTCAGCAATGCGCCACTGTTGCCCCTTGATCTGAGTCCTGTACTCCTCAACCACAGTCGCCTTTGTGGCTAGTGTCTCTTCAAGTTTCGTATTCTCAGCTTTGCTTGTGTCGAGATCACTTTGGAGTGAGCTGATATCTTGTTTGAGCTTGTCGTGGTCCTTGCTCAGAGCGTTCTTGCCAGCGCGAAGAAGTTGCTCATTGGCTGTCAACTTTTTAATTTCTGATGTTAGATCAGATTCTAAATTCTTTAGAGTAGAGATTTGTTCATTGCGAGCCTCAGATTCACTGATCACATCATCGAGTTTCCCTTTCAACGCTGCAACCTCAGCTGTGGCCGTATCGTATTTGAAGATCAACGAGCAATTTGTCGTCTCCAACCCCGCGATTGTCGTGGCTTGTGCATCTATTTGCTTGTCGAGTTCGGTCTTGCGTTTGTTCAACACATCGCTATTGTTCTTGAAATTTCGCAGTGCATTGTCCTGTTTGAAGTTGTGAAGCCTTGATGTATCGCTGACCTGCTGCCAGAATCAGCCGACTTTAGCTTTGCCTGACAAGTTCTGTCGAAGAACGTGTGGGTCATGGCTGATCAATTCCTCCTGGAAAGACCGCGATACTACCGGGCAAGACACGCGGTCATTGCCACGATTCCACTCGGAACAGCTTACTTACCCGTTTCAACTCCTTCTTTGCTTCCTTCAAGGCAAAGTTCTCGCTAACCAGCMTATCATTGTCCTTCTCTAGCGACACGGTCTTTGCTTCGAGTGTAGTGACCTTAGTCCTAAACTTTGTGATCTCTTGCTCGTGTTCCTTCTCGGCGTTCTCAGACGCTGTTCTCATACTCTGCAGCTCCTCCTTCAATTTCATGTACCGCTCTTGAGCATGATTCATTGCCTTTTGAGCATGTTGAAAGATGGACCGCTCAGAGATGAGCTTGACATCAGGAGAGGGTGATCGTTGACAAGCTGGAGCATCGTGCTGCGACTTTATTGGCGATGTGTTGCTGGCCAATTTCGAAGGCGTACAATTCTGTGTGCTTGCTGGGGGCTTTGGTCTCGTGGACTTCAATGATGGACGCATGTTCGGGTGCGTGCTAGTATGGATAGCCATACTGTACGCGTCCGATCGTTCGGTCAGTTCCAGACTGGCAGCAGGTTCGACGATTGACTGGGTCGGCGTCGAGGGCGATGGTAGTTGTTGGGGCAGAGTATGTCGTTCCATTTCGTGGGGCGTCTTGTACTTTTTGCACTTCGGCACGGCGTTTGCGTTTGCGTGGCTTGGGTGGAAGAGAGATCCCGAACCTTCCAAAGTGCCCATTCTCTTCCTCTTCTTATTCTTCTTCTTCCTCAACTTGTTTGCGTCGTCCCCATGACGGTGATCGTGGAGTGTCTCAGACATCTTCTCGCCAACGCGTCGCTCGGCGCGTAGGCTGCGGGAGGGTGCAGATGGTGGTGTGATGATTGAGAGGTATACCCATGATACACGCAAGAAAGAGGAGTGCAATCTCAAAACAATGCTGGCCTACCTTGTCGCCATATGCACGCGTCCAAGCGGAGACACGAGAACTTTGGAAAGTCGACCAGTCGCATGGCGTGTGCTAGTGATCCCTGACCATCGATCGGGGAGCTCGACATCTTGGCATCTATGTATTGGTATTGGTCGGGTTCTGATATTGATGACCTCAGGGGTTGCACTGTGAGGTATGCACTGTCCGTGTCGATGAGGAGTTTGTTGTCTCAAAGAAAAGTAGGATGCAGGTCCTTCGAACTTCGAAGCTCAATCCTTTGAGTTTGTTGCACGCAAGGGTCGGTACACCTGCAGGTGGTAAGTACCAAAACACCTGGGATACATTGGCGCTTGTACAATCACTGAACCATAGAACTAGCACAAACAACAGTGTATGGTGCCTGCAACAACGACACGTAGTTGGATGTCGGATCGGAAATAATGCAGAAGCTGTTGCAGGTTGATCGTTGTGCGCAGATAATTCGATAGTATCAACAGGCCATCCGCCACGTGGTTTGTGCACATTTCGTTGAGCTGTAAGCATCCTGCACAATCCTAGATTGTTCAATGGTGAAATGAAGCGAGTATCGTTACAAAAGCGGAGCAATGTTTGTCGTCCCACTGCCGAATAAGCTAGTGATACCGTACCAGCCTTGAGGCTTGAGGTCCAGTGACAGGAGCCTCGCTTTATGCCCAGTGACAGAAGGCTTGGTCTACGCCCAGGCACTGATTTAACTGACATGTCCAAAGACTTCTCGCGAGCATATAGATTAGACTGGAGGAGTTGGGAAGCGATTGGCTTGACACTCGTTCCTGAGGCTTGTAATAATGTGTGAGAGATGATGCATTCATTCGTCTCGCTATCCTCAAGACAGTCTGTTGAATTTTTTGTGGCGCCACGAAACCCGCAGAGTTGAAGCGGACAGTGTTCACCATCTGTTCAGTTGGAGAAAGCCTCATCTGTGCGCAGATGAGACACGGGAGACACTCTGCGGCTCTCGAGCGCAATGTAATCTCCTCAGTTCCGGAGAGGATGCATTTTCGGAGTCAGCGGGATTTGTCTGCAGGACAAAGTCCCAGTTGTRATTTGGGTGCGTCGTTCAAAGGGTGGTGTTCATGTTCATATACATGATGATGCGGGAGATGTAGGAAGTTGCGAGGTACGGTGCAGTAGCTCGGCGAGAAATGAAATGTCGTAGTAAGCTCCTCCGCCATTGGCCAATTAAAACTTGCTTCAACGACGCCAGCCAACGATCCACGAACGACCACATCCCACGACATATCACCAGCAGCAGCACCCTCTCCGGATCTACTCGCGACGCTGCTCATCCCCATTGACCACGTCAAATCTCCTCTCCCTCCACCCTACCCGTCACCGTCGCCATAATGTTCCGAACCGCGCCGCTCGCCCGCTCCCTCCCTGCCACGCTGCAGAGCGGCAGGAACGCGGCCACTGCCCTTGCGCGGAGACAACAGACATCGCAACAGATTCGCTGTGCATCACACGCCATCTCAAACCCAACACTCGCCAACATTGAGAAGCGCTGGGAGGCAATGCCTCCTCAGGAGCAGGCCGAGCTCTGGATGGCTCTGAGAGATCGCATGAAGGTGGACTGGAATGAGCTCACCATGCAGGRGAAGAAGGCTGGTACGTGATCTCTCCAATCTATCAACAGCCCTCGGCGGAGGAAGGGGTGGGGTGCCGGGCATTGATCGTGGTGGTATACATTGGATGCAAAGCAGAGCATTCGGTGTTTCCTCGGCTACGCACGCGACAGCAGCAGGGAATGGGATGAGTGATCATGGCGATGAGTACCAATGCTGACTGGTGATATTTCAGCCTACTGGGTGGCTTTTGGCCCACACGGCCCACGTGCTCTCCCTCCACCAGGCGAGGGCCTAAGGGTCTTCAGCTACACCATGATCGGTGTTGTCGCGGCAGGCCTCATCTTTGGAGCCACCCGCATGTTCGCCCGTGAAGGACCAAGCACAATGAACAAGGAGTGGCAAGAGGCCACCAACGAATACATGAGGGTAAGCATCTGGGGAAATGGAGCGCCGTTGAGGATATCCATGGCGCAGTTCCATCCATACAGTGCTAACACGATTGCTACCCACAGGAGAACAAGATCGAGCCCATTACCTTCATCGGAGGTGGTGATGACTACAAGGGCACAAAGACCATGGTCCAGAGCCCGCCGAAGAAGCAGGAGTAAACCGGGCCAACATTATCAATTTTGGGATAGCCGGGGCGCTCGAAACTCACGAGCCTCCATTGACTGGCCCCGCTCTGTATACTGCTTTTTGCAAACACAATGAGCGATTTCCTTGCATCGACTGTAGAACGAGGTTCGGGATGGGAGTAGAAGGAGAAGATTTGTATTCTACACTTCCGCGCAGCATCTGCCACTGTATAAAGGAGCAAAGAATCGAAGAAAACAACAAAAAACCATGTCCCGCCATCACTCGCCGCCTTTCCGTGAGCCCGGCTTGTAGGGGAAGTTGGTCCGATAGTGCTTGGCAATATCTTTCCTAGTGGTGACCCAAACACCAGGCTTCTCGCTGACATAGATTAGGAAGTTTCGTAATGCCTCCGCGCGGCCAGCCTTGCCAGTGATGCGCGAATGCAAAGGAATGTTCATCATCTTGCCTCCTTCTCTGTACAGGCAATCGAAGGTGGACTTGAGGTACTGCTCGTAAAGCTGACCACTGCTAGATGTGAATCCCGGAGCCATGTGGAACTTGCCATCATTGCAGTCGTAGTTGTACGGCTATCGACATGTGAGCATGGCATCCTCGAACACGTTTAGAGAATTGCTCCTTACCACGAGTAGCATCCCTTCTTTCTCCTCATCCGGCAGATCCTTCTCGTACGGCAAATCAACCCAGTATGGTACATCATCGTTGTATACTTCGGACGAGTACAGCAGCTTTGGAGTGCCTTGCTCTTTGTGCATCTCTTTGAATACTTCTGCCAATCTCCCTGGTGTGTTGACCGTCGACCTACCAAAGTAAACACCCACCGGGAACTCGCCTGTAAGTGCATGCAGCTTGTTCTGGGAGTCCTTGATGTACTTCACATCTTCCTCGTCATTCAAATGCCAGGTATCAAGCCATCTGCAACAATCAGTCATCATCAGAATAACAACCTCGATAGAGATACAGCATCTCAACACAGCATCTCAACCGATATCCTCACCTCAACCCATGATTCACAATCTCATGCCCCTCCTTCACACAATACTCCCCGAACCTCGGATTCAGCTCCATCGCCCGCGCAACAGCGAAAATCGTGATCGACCAGTCAAACTCCTTGAACAAACGCATCAACCGCCAAACTCCCACACGACTTCCATATTCAAAATCTTGCTCGGCATTTAAATATCTCGCTCCCTCTTTATGTCCTCCAGAACTACCCTTCTCCCAGAGATATGGCTCGGAATGAGCATCTCCTTCGAGAATCGACCGCTCGCCGCCTTCTTCATAATTAAGGACGAAGGAGATGGCGATGCGGGCGGAGTTGGGCCATTGACAGTCGGGGGATTCCGGACCGAAACCTTCAAAGTCTCGGGGGAGTTGGTGTTGGGGATTGATCTGGACCATGTTCGTATGTTGAATGTGCTTTGAGGGAACAATGCCGATTGAGWCTGGAAGCTTGTTCAACTTCTGAGGACTCGCAGCCGAGATGCTGTCATCACTAAGACACACCACCTTAGCCGTTGATAGCTGTAGTCAAGCGGCCTACATGTGGCAAGCGAGTTTTCGTGGGGAGAGGTACGACAGGCAATGTTGAGATCTTGCCTATCGCAAAGATCGGCTTGGCGGCCGGGCAAGATCTCACTCGCGACACTTTTGCCACGACTACTCTCAGGTTCGTCTTTAGGCGAGCCGATAAGCTGTCATCGCAATGTATGGAGTGAATCATGCGGATGGGAAATCTCGTCTGCCATTTTCTTGACTATCCAAGAAGAAATTGTAGCTAAGTACCATTCCGTTGGGATTCACTAAGATGTCTGTTCTCTCGTTGGAACCAAATACGGAGAGCCCGGTCACAGTCGATGTGCTTGATGGAATATGCGAGGAATTGGGTGTCAGGATCAAGAATGAGGAGAAGGAAGAATATAGGAAGCTGCTGGCAGTCTTTCATGACAGTGCAGCGGAGCTCATGGCAATGCCCGGTATGTTGGAGCATCCGCTTTGTTAGAGGATCGATCTAATGCTATTCAAAATAGACTACGTCCCATTCACTGACATGAAGCGGTTCCCTCGGAACAACATCCGATGGTCAGAGCCATCGGAAAACCCCCATGGTGCTTGGGCGTGGCGATGTAGTGTTCAAGACACAAATCCCAACGATGGCCTTCTCGCGGGCAAGACGATTGCTTTGAAAGATAACATCAGTGTAAAGGATGTGCCATCACTCATGGGAACTGAATTTGTCACTGGTTTCGTCCCAGACCTGGACGCGACTGTCACTACGCGGATCTTGCAGGCTGGAGGACATATCACAGGTAAAGCCGTTTGCGAAAATCTTTGTCACTCTGCCACAAGTCATTCATCAGGTACTGGAGTCGTGGATAATCCATACGCAAAGGGCTATAGTGCTGGTGGTAGTAGCAGTGGCTCGGGAGTTCTAGTAGCGTTGGGAGAGGTTGACATGAGCATCGGTGCCGATCAAGGCGGAAGTGTGAGGTATGATTGTGACATTTCCAATGATACAACTTGACGTCTAACAAGATGTGAAGGATACCCAGCACGCACTGCGGCATCGTTGGTCTCAAACCTACGTTTGGACTAATACCATATACTGGCTGTGRCTCGAACGAAGCTACAAATGATCATCTAGGACCTATGACTACCACGGTGCTGGACAATGCACTTCTCCTCCAAGCCGTAGCCGGTTCTGACAATATTGACGATCGCAGTTTCGCGGCCGGCTCGCCCGAAAAGCTGCCCAGATACTATCAAGCCTTGGAAGCACTCAAGAACCCACAGAATCTCAACGGAATCAAGATTGGCATCATTGAGGAAAGCCTCAAGCTCTCCGTATTGGATCCACGAGTCAAGACCTGCTTCGACACAGCAGTTCAAAGCTTTCGTAAACTCGGAGCCACAGTCTCCTCGATCTCCATCCCAATCCATAGTAAAGGCCCGGCAATCTGGACCGGCGTTTCGAAAGTAGGAGGCTACCTCACCAAAGTGAATGGATACAATGGACGACGAGGCCACGCCATGGTCGATTTAAACTCGCTCTTCGCAAAAGCTTTGCACTCTCCGCAACAATGGGACAAGGCTTACGTTGCCACCAAGAACATCTACATCAACGGAGCATACGCGGAGCAGCAGTTCCCAGGGCTGCATGCTAAATCCACCAACCTTTCCCGCCAGTTACGTGATGCTTATGATGAGGCGCTGGAGGAGTTTGACGTGCTGCTCACGCCGACACTACCTTATGTAGCGACAAGTCATTGCTCGCCAGATGCGACTCCTTTAGAGCAGATCAAGAAGCAAGTTGGTTTGGTGAGCAATACTTGTCAATTCAATCAAACTGGACATCCAGCTTTGGCTATGCCTATTGGAAGACTGTCTCCCACTGAAGGACCGCTGGCGGGTAGGGAGGATGTCAAGTTGCCTGTGGGAATGCAAATTGTTGGGAAATGGTGGGCTGAGGAAATGGTGTATCGGGTTGGGTACGCTTGGGAGATGGCCAATGATTGGAAGAGGATGTAATTGGGCCATCTAGAAGGGACAGCAGACTAGCCCCGGCTCTTGAATGAGTGAAATGTCAATACATCTACATCCAATTTCCAAATGGCAGAGAGAGGTGATGTGGATCTTTCCGCGAAGGGAGCTTTGAAAGTGCCGAGGCTCCACTTGAACCACACGTCCTCCATCTWCAATCTTTACATTTTCGTACACTTCTTCATCAACGTTCCGTTTGCCACATGTTTTTGACGGCTCTCTGACTGTGCTTATGCTTCCCCGCAGTACTATGGTGGAGCTTGTTGCGCTATGTGCGGGCTACCGACCGACGAACCACTGCCGCACAWGATGGCGAAGCTCGAGCATTGGAGCACGCCATCCGGCCAGCGCGAACATCATGCCTCAAAGTGGGAATCTGCCATTTCCTGGCAGCGGCATCTAGAAGAAGGCGACATAAACTCTGAAATGATCCATGCCTGGTGTAGCTTCCAGCATAAAAGATTGGCAAATTGCTCCCTCTCAACCTCACCCGTCTCTTTCTTTTTCGCGTATACCCATTGATATAACCTGAGATACCTTAGCCATCATGTCGAACCAGAAAGATCGAGACTATACCGATCCGGCCATCTACTCAACGCACCATCAGAAATTTGAGAAGGCTGGTTTGCCAACAACCCAGCAAGGATGGATTCAACGTGCCCAGGACGTTGCCGTCATTCTGGGAGAGGACGCTGCTGCGCGTGATATCGCCAACAAATCCCCTGTTGCAGAGGTCTCGTTGTTGAAGTCCAGCGGTCTGCTCAAGGTTCTTGGTCCAAAGCAGTACGGCGGAGGTGCACAAAGTTGGGAGACTGGCTACAAAGTCATCCGAGAAGTGGCCAAGACGGATGGATCGCTTGGTATGCTTCTAGGCTACCATTTGCTGTGGTCCACTACTGCCAATGTGGTTGGAACTGCTGAGCAGGCAGATTCTATCCAACAAGTCATTATTCAAAACAACTTCTTCGTTGGAGGTGCTGTCAACCCTCGAGACAGCGACTTGAAGATCACCTCTGAAGGTGACGAGATTGTCTTCAATGGCTTCAAAAACTTCAACACTGGTGGTGTCATCTCTGATTTGACAGTCCTTGAAGGTGTCCTCGACGGCACGGAAGACCACATCTTCACGCTGGTCAAGACCGATCAGGTTGGCATTCAATTTGCTCACAACTGGGACTCTGTCGGCCTACGCCTGACCGAATCCGGCAGCGTCAAAATCAGCAATGTTCGCGTGCCATGGACCGATGCTCTTGGATGGGATGCCCATAAGAAGAAGCCCGACCCATCTGTATTGGGCATCCCTTTTGCGAGCCTGCTGCTGCCAACTATCCAGTTAGTCTTCAGCAACTTCTACCTCGGAATCGCACAGGGAGCTCTGAGCGCTGCATCAGAGTACACCACCAAGTCCACTCGTGCATGGCCTTTTGGCGGTGACAACAAGGACAAGGCTATTGAGGAGTTCTACATCCTTGAGAGATACGGCGAGTTCCGCTCCCACCTCGCGGCTGCGGACGCATTGACCGACCGTGCCGGTGCTGAGATTGCGAACCTATACCGCGAAGCCGGTCAATTTGGGTCTGTCATCGATGACGAGAACCTCTTGAAGAACAGCGTCAGCCCCAACTATCTCGTGCCTACACCCGGCGATGCCAGCAGACCAAATCCTCCCTACACGCTCTCCACCGCAGCAGCTTTCCAGAATATTGGTGCCGAGGCTAAGCAGAGTAATGGAACTTACACCAACGGTCACACCAATGGCACTTCTAAAAAGGGTCGCGACGCCATCACTGCTCAACGTCGTGGTGAGGTATCCGCTTTTGTAGCGCATGCCAAGGTCGTTACCACCGATACTGGACTTTCTGTCACTTCTGGAATTTTCGAAATGCTTGGTTCAAGAGCCACAGGAAAGAAGTAAGTAATTTTGTGCGAGATGTCTACCACCTTGAAGCAAAATGCTGATCAACCCTTCTTCTACCAAATAGGTATGGTTTCGACCGATACTGGCGTGACATTCGTACCCATAGCTTGCACGACCCGGTGGCGTACAAGAAGCGTGAAGTCGGTCGATGGCAATTGTTGGGGGAAATCCCGGAGCCAACGTGGTACACTTAGATGGCTACGTTGGTAGAGAGTATCGACATTCGTGTGATTGGACTAGAGGGGAAGGAGAGCCTTGTAACTACTGCTGGTTGGTATGGCGACTTGAAGAATTGGCGGAATCACTTGGGTAGGTTTTTATGTATGTATGACAAGCAAAATATCTGTCACTGTCAATCTTTTGTGTTGTGACGGTCGTCTTCTTGTCCGGTAAGTTTGTTGATTCCACTGGGATTACCTGAATGTCCGTCCTACCTTGAGGATACCAACCATCCATCTAGCCATCACTTGGCTCCCGATCTTCATGAGCATTTTATGGTAGCCTCCGCCGACATCTGGGTATCGCCAAACTTTGGATCCAACGGAAAGGAGCGGGTGCAGAATATTCTACTTTCGTCCTCTCATCCTCTACGCACTATCTRCCGTCGCCATGTCCATGATTGCCGAATCTTAAGAATTCAACGACCAGCACGTCAATACGACAGACGCTTTCCAGAAACATCATATCCTGATAGATAGCGCACCACAACGATGGCCAACAGATCTTCGCGCTTGTAAAGAAGGCTTTATAAAGCTGTGCCGGTCTCGTGGGATTATCCCGAGGATGAGGACCCAGCATAAGGGACTAACTAGGTATACCTATCGAAACTTGATACAATCCTGCACGATAGCGTGAGAGTGAAATCAGTGGATATCGAGCATACATATATAAAAATGTCATGTATGTATCAAACATCCCCTGAAACCCCACGGTAACTAGAATCCACCTCGATTTCAGATTTCTCGGTTTTGGATCCATACTCTCGATATGCCACCACTCCCTCAACGACGGGATCATCCAGGATCGCTTCCGAAAGTAAGGTTTCTGTGGCAGGGAAGACATATGATAGCGCGAAATACACCAATGCAGCGCTGACCAGGCCATAGATGTAGCTCATATCATAGATGTGATAGCTCGAAGACAATGAGATACTAGGACTCACGGCTCTGGCAAGGCTGAAAGTTTCATCCATCAGTACAGATCTTCTTTTCACAATTCCTTGATCGAAAGAAAGATATACATACCCGGGGATATTGGGTGTCACGCTGACGAGAAACGCTACGGCCGCTCTCCAGTTGATACCGTGGTAGTATTGGTACCGCGCATGTCTTCTGTAGAGACTGGGCACGTCCAGCTTCTTGTTCTTGACGAGCCAGTAATCGCAAGCCAAGATGGAAGAAATAGGGGCCAGGAAAATCGCAAGGCCAGCCATGAATGTAAGGAGACTTGCTGCTGAGCTCACAATCTTCCAGGGCACCATAAGCCAGCCTGCTACAAGCGTCGCGAAGATTGCTCCGCGGCTTGGAACATGTCAGCGTCTGTTTGGTTTTCTCTCTTGCATGAGGAAAGGGGCGAAGGGGAACCATACCGAATGTTGATGTACTTTGGGAAGAGACTGAGCATATCATTGGCGAAGGAGATTACGTTCGCTGAGAGGTTGGTACCAATCTGGGCCACAACCCAGCAAAGCCCCACGAAGAATGCTCCGCATCGTCCGGCCGGTCCATCCCATCGCGATGCGAGTACGACAGGATCCCAGATATATTCTCCATAGACGACCTTGGCGGCACTGCAGGAGATGATCCCAAACAAGCCGAGAATCAGTCCAATCATTGGTAGGAACAGGCCTTGCCAGTACACGCCTCGAGAAGTTTTCAAGTACCGAGTGAAGTCCGGCACGTTGGTCGCCATCGTGGCCCATCCAGACGCTACGCTCATCATGGAAGCTAGGGTGAGCCAGGACCTCTCCGCTCCATGCACGGTATACTCCTGATCCCAGATATCCCCTGACCCTCCCGCTTTTACCGTCATGGCCACGACGGTCGCGATGCACACGACCAGGACGACCACGGCTTTGAAGACGAAGAACCATTTTAATTTATGCGGAGCAATCAAGAGGATGGGGAATTGAATGCTCCAGAAGATGAAATGCGATAGCATCTGTTGCGTCGTGATGCCTGCGGATGCGGGGAGGTGGTTCGGAATGTTCAGATAGCTTGGCCAGATCGCTCGGATCATCTGGGTCATGGCTGTTGATCCGGTGTAGGTTTGAATGGCATGCCAGAACAGAGCTGTGATCTAGATGGGAGAAGGCAGAGTCAGTAGACGTTCGGGGGTTGCAGGGTATCGTCTTGCACCGATGATTGGCCATGTTTTGTATATCCGCGCGGAAAAATGGTCATAGTGATGCCTGCTCCATATGACAATAACGTACCATGCGCACAATGACAGCAAATCGAGCAAACAAGAAGCCGAAACTTGAGCGAGCCGCAACGGGAAAGCTGATGTGATAGTGAGCACCTTGTCGGAACGTCAGTGTGAGCTTGTCAAAGGGGTTCTCCTGTGAAGTGAGTACCAATAGCACCATTGAGGACCAACGGAATGGCCGTGATGGACAAGCCAAAGAGGATGCTGTATACAGCTTCCCGCCATGTGAGACCCACGGCGATGATTGCAGCCGGCGCCATCCCTTGGAGCAGTGTCAGTAATTCAGAACTATATATCCTCACGTCGTGTCTTGTCTTGTCACTCACATCCCTGTGCATTCATCGCATCAGAGATCCAGAAACCGAGAATCGTCCATGTAGACCATGTTCGCCGCTCGAGGGGCGTAACGTCGGAATCGATATTGGTCCAGCTGTTCTCATCACCAAATGAAGCGGGCTGTTTGGGGAGAACCCAACCTGACAGCTTCGTCTTCTGCTTTAGGCTTGTCTTTGTCTTCTCGACGCGAGCTCTGGACATCGACGCCATGCTGGTCGGGATGTAGAAGGTTGGATTATCAGGCTCGAGAAGGATTTCTCATATGTATATGGAACGACGAGGAGATATAAGTGCACCTTGTGTAGATGCTGCTGATACTATCCAAGAGGCGCGCCCAACTGGTTATGGTCTTCAAACTCAGAATGTCTTATCAAACCGTTTCAATGGGTGCCTACCTAGTGCTTACGGAATTGCTGTGAGGTTGGTGTGCATGCTTCGATTCGCCGCCGGCCACGTGGGTTGTGATTGTGTCGATCCGAGGTAAGGCTGCTCAATGTGTGTATCAATGGTGTGAAGTCCATTCTGATTCTGATAGATAGGTAGGTTCCGTTCCTACATCCATGCCACCATGGATGGCTTATCTTGACCGGGATTAGGCCTGCGCCACATGATGGTGACATATGTCATTCATATCAGCATAATAATATCCCTCAAGTAACGACTCTTCACAAGTGCAGCCTCTGTGTGGTGATTCTCGCTAGTAATAGTGAGCAGATCCCGGGGCATAAATCTAGCTAAAGATCAATTGTGGTGAACCTCAATGGAGCTCTGAAGACCGTTGAGCTTCGTTAAGAAGCTTTGAGGGTGCTTCAGATGTCTCTAGTGATCTTTATTTTTGCGAGTGGCCAGCACTTGTATAGAAGCGGTGATCAGGAGATCACAGCGGTGTGGAGTCTTACATCGTGTAAGGCATTTCCTACGGTGATGTTACGCTTTGRGATGTGGCTGTGCTGCTGTTTTCGACGGCATGCCGACAGGGCTTTCTCGGTCTGTGGAACAAGCTCAAGAGCCATGCCGATGCAGCTGATAACGAAGCCGCTCACTGCTGACCATTGGCAGATCTGCATAGAATAGTTGAAAGAGTTGATGTTGTGAGTAAGTACCTAGATTGCAAGAACAGAATCGAGGTGAGCGTGGCCAAGTCTTGGACGGCTGGTGCTGGCCCTCGCCGACGGCGGCCGTCCGCCGAATCATTTCCTCGCCCATGGCCAATTGCCCATTATCTTGGTCGCCCGCCCGCCGGCATCTCACCAGCTCATCGCCCTCGCCGCGACGTGTCTAGCCCGACAAGAATACGAGCAGATGTTCAAGGGCTTACCTGATGCCCCAATTTCTAGAGACACGGTATTTCTAATCACCTTTCTTCTGTATCCAACGCCTGTGCCTTGCTTTCGCCGTCTTCTCATCAGGAAAATACAATGACCACCATGGAGTTGCCATCTGCGAGACCCTATGCCTTCAAGTGGAAACCGGAGACGACGGCGTTGCTCATCATCGACATGCAGCGAGACTTTGTGGATTTTGGAGGCTTCGGCGAGATACAATGTGGGCAGATGGATCTCTTCAAGAAAGTCAGAAACATTGTCCCCAAGATCCAAAAAGCGCTAGAAGCGGCTCGTGGACTTGGAATGCATGTAATACACACTCGAGAAGGTCACGAGTCCTCCGCAGCCAAACACCTGCCGGCATCCAAGCGACTACGACAGATTTCGTCGCCTTCGGGACATCATACGATGACCATTGGGGATGAAGGTCCGATGGGGAAACTGCTTATTCGAGGAGAATATGGCCACGATATCATCGATGAGCTAAAGCCTCTCCCGAGCGAAGTTATTGTTGACAAGCCGGGAAAAGGCTCCTTTTGGAACACCACTCTTCACCGAGCATTACTGGCCCGTGGAATCACCCATCTTATGTTTGCCGGAGTGACTACGGAATGCTGCGTCAACACCACTGCACGAGAAGCTGCTGATCGAGGCTTTGAGACTTGCATACTTGCAGACTGTACGGATGGCTTTTACGAACCTTTCTACACCAGCACCCTGGACATGCTTTGCTCTTATGATGGTCTGTTTGGCTTCGTGGGAACTTCGGAGGAGTTCATCACTCAAGCACCAGTGGCGATACAGACGCCTCCCACTACACCACCAGCTTTTAGWAATGACCTGTCTTTGGAAGGCCTTGGTCGAAAGTACAGGAACCGCCAGCTGCGACCTACGGACATTGTTCAAGAGGTCTCGTCCCGGATTACCAGCTACAAGTCGAAAGATCCTGCGATCTGGACTTTCGTCCGGTCTGCCGAGGATTTGCTCGCAGCGGCCAGAGCCATTGAGGAGCGCTTCGAAGGAAAGCCTCTACCTGAGCTCTACGGCGTTCCTTTTGCAGTAAAGGACAACATCGATGTTGCATCTGTACCGACTACAGCAGCGTGTGAATCGTATGCTTACACTCCCACCGAAGACGCAAAAGTCGTGGCTGCTCTCCTCGACGCGGGAGCAATATTCGTCGGCAAGACAAATCTCGACCAACTCGCTACGGGTCTATCTGGCTGTAGATCACCATTTGGTAACCCGAAAAGTGTGTTTGGAAATGGAAGGATCTCTGGTGGCTCTTCATCTGGTTCTGCAGTCGCGGTTGCAGCTGGGCTGGTATCTTTCGCTCTCGGCACCGATACAGCAGGGTCGGGAAGAGTACCAGCAGCATACAATGGTATCACAGGCTTCAAACCTACCAAAGGAACTCTGAGCTCCAAAGGCCTGGTTCCCGCTTGCAAGAGCCTTGACACCATTTCAATCCTCACGCCCACATTGGAGGAGGCAAGAAAGGTGTGGCTCGTTGCAGACCAGGGACCTGATATGGATGACATGTACGCAAAGACGCAGCAATCTTTACCCCTTTGGCATGCAGACTTCCGGGGTATCAAATCGGGTGGCTTCACCTTTGGTGTTCCACCACAACATGCACTAGCAGAGTGCACTGAGACTTACCAAAAGCTCTTTGCACAAGCTGTAGAGAGACTTGAGCGGGCGGGCGGAATAGCAAGAGATCTGGACTGGACTCCTTTTGAAGGCGGCAGCAATCTCCTGTACGATGCATCGTTGGTACAAGAGCGTGTCGCGTGCATAGGCGCAGAATTTCTCACAAATAACCTTGAGAAGCTACATCCGGCAACAAAGGGCCTCTACGCCGCAGCGTTGAACAAAGATGTCAAGCCTTGGGAAGTGTTCCGTGACTTGCACCTGCAAGCAGAATACACTCGTGATGCAGCGACAATCTTCGAGGACATAGATGTTCTCCTTGTACCAAGTACCACATGCCATCCGACGATTGAAGAGATGGAAAGAGATCCGCTCGCTTTGAACGCCAAGTTAGGTTACTTCACACACTTCGGGAATGTACTGGATCTTTGTGCAATTGCTGTCCCGGCCACTACGTACCAAGAAGGGGGTGAGGTATTGCCATTTGGTGTGACATTACTCGGTGCTACGGGTATGGATGGGAAGATCTTCGATATCGCCAGAGAATTCGAGCGGACAGCATAATGTGGGCTTTTCTGAGAGTGGATGTTTTCATAGCGAGCCAGTAGCAGATAGGTCGCATTGTAGCCCAAACACAGACCGGCTCAATCTTCCATGCGAATTTACCTCTAAAGAATAGAACAAGTGTGTCACCTCATGGCGAAGGGCAGCTTCTGCGGAGAAATTCGACGCGCTATGAAAGATTACCTTCTCAACTTCCACGTCCCGCAAGCATCAAGGATGACATCCTTGACTAGCATATCAGTAATCAACTTTCGAAGCCTTCCATCGATTTCTTCCCCCCCCCTCGTTTCGAAGAAGCCGCTAGCCCGGTTCCGGATGACGTATGTGAGTGAATCTCCACATCCCATCTACTTTACCCATCTGTCTATCCAACCAACCAACAAATAACCATCTCACATCAACTCCACATTCAATCCATACCCATCCACAAGATGCCCAGCAAACTCACGCCATGGAAAGAACTCCGCATTCTCAAACATCAAATCCCAGCCCACGGCTCCATACCGAATACATCCATCCAGCATAAACCCCTCCTACTCTACAAATCTCTTTTCCCAGATAATACATCCGCCTCACAAATCGAATCTCATCTCTCATCTATAGGAGTCGTGCAGCCACAATGGCGATACACAATGTACGTACGTGGTCATATGAATTAATTCATAACCTGCACACATGATTTTTTTTCTCTCCTCAAATTGTGGTTGAATGAATATGGGTAGCACACGCTAATCTATCTCATAATGATACGATACAGGTATGATTTCTCCCACTTCCACAGCACTTCGCATGAAGTCCTGGGAATTTCCCACGGACGAGCGAGACTTTGTTTTGGACATGAGGATAATCCTGATAGGGTTGTGGAAGAAGTTTGCAAAGGCGATGTTATTGTCATTCCGGCGGGAGTTAGTCATTGTTTGTTGGAGGATTTGGAGGGAGGGTTCCAAATGGTTGGATGTTATCCCAAGGGCTACAATTGGGATGTGTGTGAGGCTGGGGATGATAGAAAGGTGCAGATGATTGAGAGTCTGGAGTGGTTTGAGAAAGACCCAGTGTATGGAAATGAAGGACCTGTGCTGGAAGTTTGATGTTAGCAACATTCGGACATGGTCCCATCGTGAAGAATGTTTTGAAAAGTGTTCTTCATTGTCTCATTCTGTCGTTCATTCTTCATGACGGTAATAACCTCCTGTCTGAGGCTAGCCATGTCAAGGCGTAGAACGACGGGTATAACCTTTTCTTCCATCACCCCATATCGTCATACGGCCCGAGCGATGYAGCAAAGAAAAACGAACGCCCACGCCATGCTAAAAGCAGTCCCAGCCGATATGATCCTTGATGCACACACTACAATACCGTCATCGAATACCGTCATCGAAAACGAGCTCCTTGATTGATGTAACAAACTCGACCTTACGCAAGGTAGCCAAGGTCGTCGTCCTCCAAACGTTCCAGGTACTCCTTCTCCAGCAAGATGTCGATGCACTTCTTGATGTCTCCGACCTTGGGACTGAAGCGGTTCTTGATCTGCGCAATGGTCTCCGATACCAACTGCGTATGTTTCATAGTCTTTCGCGACTTCATGATGCGCACAATAGCAGACTGCGATGATTGTTAGTATTGAGAAGAATGACACTCTGACGAGATTGATGTAACTCACCTGCATAAGCATCTTGCGGTCTTCCTCAATGGTCTTGTGGGTATCCTCCGCCTCCTGCTTCTGCTCCGACTTGATGGCCACGTTGAGGTTGACCTTGACCTTCTTATTCTTGAATCCGTGATTCAGCGTGTAGCTGGTGCCGCTCTGAGAGCCGGCACCCTCTGGCTTGGCGATGAGAAGCCGAGCCTTGAGCATGATGCCAATGGAAGGATCGAGAGTCTCTTTGGCAAGAGAAGTGACGGCTGCAATGTTGTCGTAAGTCTGCGTCTCCTGGTCGTTGAACATGAGAAGGATCGCCATTTGGTATGTCGAGACTTGGAAAGTGTATGGCACCTTGTTCATCTTGATAAAGTTGGCACGAATCTCACCCTTGCAGAGATGCCACAGCCAAGTCAACTTGCGACCGCCGTGCTTGTTGCCGTAGAATGTTGAGAAGCGCTCGTAGGTCTTGATGATGACGGCCGGTGGCGCAAAAGCAGTACCACTCGGCTGCAGCGGCCAGAATCCAGTGCCGAGAATCTGGTAAGTGGCATCGATGTCRTTCTTGCGATCCTCCTTGTCGACAGTTTGCGTGCGCCACTCCTCGTATGCGTTGTTGAGATCCTTGGAGGTCTGCATGTCTTGGAACATGCGCTGCAGCTTGTTGGTGTACTCGAAGCCGGACGCATCTTTCAGCTTGGAAATCATCGAGGTCTCGGCATCACCAGAGGCGGATGTGCCGTTGACGAGGCGCTTCGCGAGGTGGCGGGAATAGAATTTCTGGAACACATCCTTGTCCTCGATGTATTTGAAGATGGTCATGACTTGGTTGAGCATCTTCTCCATGTCGTCTTCCTCGGTAGCCTTGGTGGATCGCTTCAACACGTTGTCGGCGTGCTTGGCGAGCAGCTCTGGAGAGCGGGTCGAGTTCTTCGCACAGACCCTGTTGCGATTCACGTACTCACGGCAGGCATTGTCCAGCGACCGCACGAATTCAGACTCACCCGTGAAGGCGGTCTGGACAAGGGCAGAGTAATGTGTGTGAACTTCGAGCAAGGCGTCAATGTATGCACGGGGATCCAGGTTGTCGCCCTGGACGAGAACCTTGTCGATCGCGAGGTGACCGGCTTGGCGCACGTGGGCTTCGAAGCGGTGGCGAAGGGGATCCAATCCTTCAGGGATACGTGCGAGCAGCTTGTACATGCGTGCCATGTCGTCCTCGCGATCTTGGTTGAGCAACGTCTGGAACTCATCCCTGAGCGTCGCGGCGTGCTTTGCGATCAGAGCCGCTTCACAGCACTTCATCAGTGGTGCTAGAATCTCCGGGAGGAGGTATAGAGGGACGCGCTCCTTTTCCTCGTCGAGCCGACGCTCCGCCTTCTTCATGTAATCCATCACAGAGTTGTCCCCCAGGAATGCTACAGACTCCGTCTCGTAGTAGGCGGTGGTAGCCTCCAGATATGGCTTTTCGAAATGTTGGCGGTAGACATCCAAGGTGGTCTTGGTGCTATCCTGCTCATCAATTCCGAGAGATACAAAGGACTGCACGACGTCCTTGATCTTGCTCTGCTCGATGGTCTCGCCATTACGCTGCTTTTCAACCAAGCGGAGGACAGCTTCCATGACAGCGTTCTGTGTCGAGCCAAACATGTCTTCCTTCCAGCGCACCAAATGCAGGGTGTAAATGTCGTAAATGTCCTTCTTGCCCTCCTCCATCTCGCGCTTCACCCAGTGACGGTTCAGATAGCGAAAGAGATGGTTGTTGTACATGCCGGCCTGTGTGTATCGCTTCCACTCCTTGATGTAGAATGTGAGCAGCGCCTCGTCAGAGTGCTGGACCATTTCGGCGTGCACGGCTGCGAGGTGGCCCTTGAGGTAGATGTTCAACCGATGATACAGGTCTTCGCCGAGCAAGTGCGCGCCGCGGTGGTTGCTGTTGAGCGCACTGCTCCCCGCACCCACAGCCTTTTGTGCTGTGCAGAAGTTGTGGATCGAGGTGTAGAGGGACATGTATGTCTTGAGATCCACACCGTCACTCAGACTATACATTATACGCTCCACGCCCCATTCGAGGAAGTTCCAAGTGCCGTCAACATCGTCCTTTGAGGTGGGCATCGGAGGTGCAGGCCGCTTGGCCGCAATCTCGGCGGCGGACGCCATGCTGGAGATTGTGGGAGGGGATGTCTGAGGGGAAGTGGATGTCGGTGTCGACGCGATGAAGCTGCAGACCAGTCGTGCTACAGGCGTCGCACGTGCCTCAGCGCGGCGGCGGTGGCGGCGGTGCAAACTGCAGTCCGGGGATCGCAGTCGTCGCTGTTGGTGGTGCTGGCTACTGATGCTGCTAGTGCAGGCTGAATGTCCGCTTTCGTTGCTGCGCGGTGTTTTGAGTGGCGGATCAATACGGTCGCTGATGTTGCAGTCAGTTGTGAGKCCAAGGTTATCACAGTGAGGTTTCGCGGGTTGGGGTTTGTTTGGGCGGAGAGAAGCAGCGATGGTGGAGTGACGGTTTGGAAAGATGWCATTCAAGATCGGAGATCCGGCGTGACGCCTGCCTAAAAGTTACCTTACCAATTTACAGTTCACTGTCAATACTTCGAGAACAAACGAGCTGATTTGAAACGGAATAATGGACAATGGAAAGAGAGACGCGCACTACAACGTCGCCTTACAAACGGATGGATGACATGTGAATTGGAACCGCGTGCAAAAAAATGCCTCGATGCTGCTTAGAGTTGAATGCATCATGCAGAGTATTTGTACAGCTGTATGTTGGGTGTGGTACATATGATACAGGCATTACTTCGTGACCTTGTCCACGAACTCATCCTTTGCCTCCGACGCCTTGCTTACAAGCTCGTCCTTCGCGATGCTGGCCTTGCTTGTGAGCTCGTCCTTTGCATCGAGAATATCCTTCTTGATCTCCTCCTTCAGAAGCACTTCCTGGCCGCCTTGCGCGCCTGCGGCTGCTGATTGAGGCTCGCCAGACTGAGCACTTCGTGCGCGTTCCTCCTCAGCCTGAACCTCTGCGACCTCATCATCGTCCAATTCCGCGCCATATATGTCTGGATGCTCGCGGAAGCAATTTTGCATCGTCTTAAAGTGCTCGATACAGTCCACGCCCTTTGGTTCCTCCTTGGAGAATACGAAGCAGCTGAAAGCAGCCCTGAACTGCTCTCCGCAAGGTCCATGTGCCATACCACCTAAGCAAGGACAGTCCCAGTTGATTTCGCCCGTCTCTTCGTTGAAAGCACCCTGCTGCTCTGCTTCCTCCTCCAGTGCTTCAGGACCTCCATTCGCGGGCTGTTCGCCATTGTTTGGTGTTTGTGATGCAGGCACCGGGCTCGCTTGGGAAGCCTCGAGTTGTGACCGTGCCTGTGCCCTCCTCTGCTCTGCTATTGAGTCCACGGTTGAATAGGTTTCGGATCCGCTGGTAGTGTCCAATGGAGCAGCGTGTGGTGCGCCTGTAATCCCGTCAGTGTTCACATTCGCCGACTTGTTGAGCCCGTCATACGCACGATGTGGCTCATCTGCGAATATGGTCGAAGTGTTGTAGTAGTACACAATGGCGCCTGCGGCCGTCCATCTCAATGCTGCACCTTTCCACGTCCCTGTTCGTCGTGTCGTGCTGCTTGCGAATCGCCTCCCCGTCGGCGCTTTGGGTATCGATCGCGCGATTACTGCTGTCCTGAACGCCGGCCGAAACATGCTGAGATTACTGACGGAATCAAAGAAAGGACGTGAAGGATGCAAATGCAATGTAGAGAGGCGCAAAGGTTTCCAGAAAGATGGTTTGAAATCATGGCAATGGCGCCGGGTTGGCCCGTGAGCGGTTATGCACTTCGTCACCACAGGCATCGTCTTACTTTAGTTCTAGTCATTACATTCTTCCCATGGCCGACTCCTACAATCGAAATGGACATGTGACGGAACTGCGGCCATCGCATTATCTTGAGAACAACAAAAATGAAGGCCTCTCTCAAGACGCTCCTGCGTTGATCCTCTTGAATACCCCCTTGGACGACCTCGAATACTATCGAAGCTTGAAGTCCCATGCTCAATACATCCTTTGCGCCGACGGCGGCGCCAATCGCCTCCACGATTTATGCATTGCAGCAACCGATGGAAAGGACTGGAGAGATGCATTGAAATCTGAGCTTCCCGATATTGTCCATGGAGATCTTGATTCCCTCCGGGATAATGTCCGCGAACATTACGCAGAGCTAGGAGTCAAGATCACACAGGACCCGGATCAATACAGCACCGATTTCGGCAAGGCCATCAAGACTGTTGTTTCCCATTCACCCCATGCTCGAGAAGTGCTAGTCCTTGGCAGCGTAGGCGGCCGTGTGGATCAAGGCATCGGCTTACTGCATGAACTCTACCGCGAGCAGAAGACAGATCATTCAGGGCTACGATTCTGGTTCTTTTCCGWATCTAGTGTCACCGTGCTACTGCGGCCAGGCACGACGATCATTCATACTCCGTTGAAGGAGCGGCTGATCACACCAAATGTAGGAATATTACCTCTGTACGGCAAAGCTGTGATATCCACCAAAGGCTTGGAATGGGATGTTCAAGACTGGCCAACGGAGATGGGAGGAAACTTGAGCACTTCCAATCATATCGTCGCGGATCAGATCTCCATAAGCACTGATTTCGATGTTCTTTTCACGGTTGAACGGCAAGCGAAGTTGCCATGATGCGATGGGGCCATGTCTAGTAATCCAAGGCAGAAGATGCTTCAGACAACGGGGACTCGGCCGTCTCCGAAGTTTCGTCGATTGACAAACACGTGGCGGCCTTCTCACTGGCATGGTCTTCGAGACCCAGCCTCGGATGCCTCTTACTCTCTGGGAATTGTGTTGCGGAGAGGTGCAGCATCCCGCCACTGCAGGCATGGATCCATCTCAAACGATGGAAATGCAGTATCGTGATCCGCATAAGCGAGCAGACCGGTTTGGAATACTGCAGCGGTGGATTGACGCGAGGCACGCCTTTCGGTTGTTGACCAACAGGGGTGCGAGTGCTAAGTTATCAATCGACCGTCTACCAAATTGTGAGACTATCGATGGTCATTGCAAATACTCATCATGAGGTCGGAAGATGAGTGGCGGGTGCAGTGCGAAGATGGGCGGCATGGCGTACAGATGTAGGGGCAGTGCCAAAGTAGTGGCCGGTATTGGTCTTCTGAAACAGATTGCAAATGTAACATCTTATTGGGATGAGTTGCTGCAAAGAGATCCAATCAATGTTTGGATTGGTTCCTGCATAGGTGGTGCATTGTGCTCGTGCTCGTGCACGTCAACGCATGATGTCCCCACGTTGCTCGCCCTGAACGTCACCGGAGATGACGCCGCAAACAATCAGACTGAACATGTATGTCGAAGTGGTTCTGATGGGGCGCAATGCATGATGCCGTGCTTCTTACGATGCAGCTCTAGAAGATTCGACAATGAGATCAGACAAGCCATGGAAGTCGCTTGGGCGAGACATGGACCTCCATTGTAGTGCATGCAGATAAGTGATGACGTTTGCCAGACGTTGATTGGTGGATTACAAGCTCCCAAGCTTGTGACAAAGGATTGTTCAAGTGACGAAAAGACGAGAAGAAAGCTAGAGTGAAGCGAGTTGAAGCGAGTTCTGGGAGGAAATGAACAAAATCCAATTTTGAGATGATGTCTGATGAAGGAAGTGAAGGAAGGACGCCCGGAGAAGAGGGTTCGCGCTAATTTTGGCACAGCTTGTGACGAATTAGGTTCTTGTGCTATACCAGCCCATCAAAGGCCCGTCGAACTATAGTGCAACGATAACACCAAAGAGAAGCCCTCACACGGCCGGAGTCGACATTTGACAACGATCGCGCCTGCAGGGAGAGCCGGGCTCCGCGATTTAGTCCAAGCTTCTCGCTCTTGCTGGCTAGTGCGCGCTCCCCACCATTCTACACTACCACCAGCAAAGCCGCAATGAATGAGAAAATGTGCATTGAGGGTGGATTATAGCGACAGTATTTGGTGCTCACACCCGTACGCACGCCCACTGGTTCTCAGCTCAGCGCTCACTGCACTCCCGTGCTCTGGAACCCACCTCCACCCGCATCGCGCTGACTTTCGCCCTGGAGACTGCAGGCTTGATTCAAAGATTTACATACTTTCCAATACGCCGAACCGCCGTCCATTCGCACTCTTCCTTTCAATCACAACCACAATCACCACCGATCCCGCCTTCTACCGACACATCTTCCAATATGGCGTGGCAGCCGGAGCCACAGCAGCTGCACCAGCTTGCACAATGTCTGCGCGACTCACTCAGCGGCCACGATGCTGCCGCTCAGAAAAAAGCGGAAATGGTGCGTTATGTGGAAAAAACTGGCTGTGCTTGAGCTGTCACTGACACTCAATAGATGCTTCGCCAGGCAAAGGGTTCTCCTGACATCAACAACTACCTCGTATACCTCTGCATCACGCCGGAATCCGACACAGGTCTGRGTGTGGAGAACTACCATGCGGCTCGCAGCGCAGCTGCCATCATGCTCAAGAATACTGTCAAATCCTCATATACCAAGATCCCAACCGACAGCCAAGCGTACATCAAAGCGCATGTCCAGCGGGGTCTGCAAGATCGCAACCCTCAAATCCGCAACTACATCGGGAATGTGATCACGGAGGTCGTCAAGCAGAGTGGCATTCTTGGGTGGCCGCAGATCCTGCCAGATCTTGTAGCTGTGGTGAGCAACGAGAACCGAAATGCTACAGCCGRGGCGCAGGATGGTGCCATGGGCGCACTGTTCAAGATCTGTGAAGACAACCGCAAAGCACTCGATCAGGAGTACCAAGCAGAACGACCTCTGTCCTTTCTTCTGCCCAAACTCCTCGATTTCACACAAAGTACAAGCTCGAAGATCCGGTCAAAGGCGCTGGCTGCCATCAACGTCTTCCTGGTCGAGCCTGTGGCCGTCACCATCAAGACTCACGTCAATGAGATTCTACCCTCGGTAGTTCGACTGTCGCAAGATGAAAGTGTTGACGTGCGTCGATTCGTATGCCGCGCTTTTGCCCTTCTTGCGGATGCTATTCCTCAGGTACTTTTACCACACGTCGAAGGCATCGTCGACTACACCATTTCACAGCAGAAAGACATTCACAATCAGGAGCTAGCCTTGGATGCTGCCGAGTTCTTCTTCGAGGCGAGCAGTAACGCAGCGCTACGGGAAGCCCTCGGGCCTCATCTTGCGAAGATCGTACCCGTCCTGCTCGACTCCATGGTCTACGCCGAGGACGATCAACTACGACTCGAAGCCGACGACGATGATGACGATGCTGATGTTGAAGACGACCTCAAGGATATCAAGCCGGCATTCGCCAAGGAGAAGACCTCACATCGTGATGCCATGGGAGGTAGCTCAGCGTCGCAGGCAAATGGACAGCCGAAACCGGCCTTGAATGGCTATGCGTACGCAGAGGATGACGACCTCAGCGATGGCGAGATTGAAGAAGATGAAGATTTCGAAGACATCGATCCGGAAGAGGAATGGAATCTTCGCAAATGCTCTGCCGCAGCTCTGGATAGTCTTGCGAGCCACTTTCACGGGCGGGTGTTCCAAGAAGTTCTACCATGGCTCATGGCCAATCTGCAACACAAGGACTGGCCCAATCGAGAGGCGGCCGTTCTGGCACTCGGTGCCATTGGCCCCGGTTGCATGGAAGACATCAAACCACATTTGGCGCAGCTCATTCCTTACATGCTGACGCTCCTCGGAGATGAGCAACCAGTCGTGCGGCAAATAACCTGCTGGTCGCTCAGTAGATACGCGCAGTGGGCGGCGCATGACGAAGGAGCACCAAAGACACAATTCTTCGAGCCGATGATGGAAGGTCTCCTAAACCGGATGCTGGACAATAACAAGAAGGTTCAAGAGTCGGCAGCGTCCGCTTTCGCCGCGCTTGAGGAAAAGGCCGATGTTCAACTCGCACCTTACTGTAACGTCATCCTCCAGCAATTCGTCAAATGCTTTGACAAGTACAAGGACAAGAACATGTACATCCTCTACGACTGCGTCCAAACCTTGGCGGAGCATGCTTCGCCATCTTTGGCTCAGCCCGAAAACGTCAACCTCCTCATGCCAGCTATGATCGTGCGCTGGGAGACAGTGCACGACCAGTCGCGAGAAATGTTCCCACTCCTCGAGTGCTTGTCATTTGTAGCCACTGCGCTCGGCACAGAGTTCGCGCCATATGCGCCGCCGCTCTTCATGCGCTGCATCAAACTCATTCAGCAGAATCTCGAAGAGGCCGAGGCGGCCTACATGGACCTGCCTGATAAGGATTTCCTCGTTACTAGTCTCGATCTCCTCAGCAGCATCATCCAAGCACTCAACGAATCTCAAAGTACTCAGCTCGCGACGACGGCGCAGCCCAACATGTTCCAGCTGATCGGCTTCTGCATGAGAGATACCAACAATGATGTGAAACAGTCTGCGTATGCGCTGCTGGGCGATTGTGCCATCTACATTTTCCCTCAGCTGCAGCCTTTCCTGCCGGACGTCATGACCATCTTGATCACACAGCTCGACATCAACGAGCCGACCGAAGACCCCGAGACTGCCTTTAGGGTTATCAACAATGCCTGTTGGTCTTGCGGTGAGATCGCCATGAGGCAGAAGGAGGGCATGAGCCCTTATGTTGACGCTCTGCTCGAGAAACTTGCCACCATCATGTTCAGCGAAGATGTCCCGGATTCACTCAACGAAAACGCAGCTATTGCTCTGGGCCGCCTGGGAATTGGCTGCCATCAGCAGCTCGCGCCCCACCTAGCAGGTTTCGCGCCACCTTTCCTCCAGTCAATGCAGAAAGTGGGCTGGACCGACGAGAAAGGACACGCCTATAAAGGATTCGTAAGTGTGGTCCTCGACAATCCCCGTGCTTTGGAGGCCTGTCTTGCAGACTTCTTCGGTGAAATGGCCAGAGCACCAGGTGTTTTCCTCACTGGAATGCAAGATGATGGCCCTTTGAGTGGCTTCGAGCGTGTTCTGGCACAATACAAGCAACTCATAGGAGATGGCTTTGATGTCTTCCTTCACACGCTGCCACCGATGCAGGAGCAGGCAATTCGCCAACTGTACACATTTTAGCATGATGTGTCACCAGTCATGGTGTTGTGCTAATCTTTTGGCACCGGTCTCCATGTCAACATCGAGGACACAATCGCGGTCCCATCGTTCGACCCGCGCAACAACATACTTTATTGCTTTTCAAAGTTCTCTGTTTACGATACCAATCTAGATAGCGGGTCCGACTACCGGAGTTCGAACATCATCTTCCAGCGTTTTTAGTTAGGGAAAGGCAGCGTCATCTGTTCGCTATCAACATGAGCGGCAGCACGAAAATGGGAATCGTCGTGCATGGCGTTTGGCATCTAGCGACGGGGAGGAAATCTGAGGAAGACCGCAAGGTGGCGAGGAGTGAGAGAGAGATAGGATTATGGGCATATGGGTCATGTTTCCATCTTATGGTTTGGTGATGATTGAATGAGGAAAATGAAACGATACTATTGCTTGTCAAAGGAAGGCTGGCTACGCGTGAGAAGCATTGAGAGACGCGTGCCGATGCTTGGAGCTGCATGGTGCTCTCCCTTATGATAATTATGGCCATGCGGCCGGAACGGCAATTGAGCTGTAGATAGCTTAGCGCAAAGAAGGTGAAGTGGACTGTGAAAACATTTCTGCATGCGTCTTTCCTGGTTATTTCATTCTCGATGTTGCATTGTGAATGTCACGCACCATCGAGGATGTCTCAGGGTTAGGGTTGGGGTAGTGCACCAGCAGGTTGACGATGCCCAACAAAGCAGAAGAGCCACTCATCGACTATAGTCTTGTGCTAGTATTCTGTATTCATTTCATGTGCAAGGCTGATTGACGCCGTGAAGCGCGCCGGAATTGTAATATCTGGAGTTGATATTGCTCGATAGTTTCCAGGAAGTCATTCATGCATTCATTACTGACACGGACTCGGTGAGTTATGGAAACTCACACATAGTGATCACACGTACTAGTCGAAAACATGTACTCAACGCCTCGAGCCGCAGTCATAATGATCAAACCTGATTGCTGTCCATGCTACAACCAGTGAATTAGGTACAAAACCTGCCCCGTACCATGATACAAGTAATGAGCAATTGCCTCCCAAGCCACTCAAAACGCCACACGCCTCGCTCAAACAGCAAAACCGCCCCAACTTTCACCGACAATCAGCACATAGCCATTCTCCAACCGGCCGTTGCTGAAGACACAAGCATCTCACATGGAACTGCCGTGAGCATTTGTGATTACCACATGCCATGGTCCCTCTCCTCCCCCCAGCCTCCTCTCCGCAAACACAGAGATGGTCCTTTTCGATCCTAGCATTCTTCCTCGAAGGCCCATCATTGTTGTCATCAACTCTCTTCCTCTTCGTCGTACTGTTGGGGGCATCCTTCATTTCTCGCCGCGGCCGTAGCTCGAAAACTATGTCCCCCACAGTGTTGCTGCTTTGGACGTTCTTCAGCGCAGACAGCCAATCGTCCTCATTCATGATCAACGCCGTCGTGCGATCGTTGACACAAACAATGATGTCTACATCACTGTCCAGTGGCGACTCGTCTGTCAGGACTCTCAAGAGCTTCGCAAGTTCGAGATCCTTAGGTTGTATGTCATCGCGTGGGGTGTCCYGCTGGTCGTCACGAGCAAAGTCGAACATGTAGTACGGTTTTGATGGCTTGTTGCCTCTGCGACAGATGATTCTGCGACGACCAAATGGCATGGCTTGTCGACGCGCACTCGCGGGCACTGGGGTAGGAAAGCCTAAGGCACTTCTGTGAGCACCGTTTGTGGCAGCGTCTCTTTCTTCTTGAGATATCTTACCATCTTGCCATCTCAGGCGGCTCTTGGTGGACAAGTGACTCGGAGGTGACATGGCTTTTGCTCTTTCCGGGGTTCGAGTCTCGGAACCGCGATCGCGGCGGATGAATCGTCCCTTGCCACTAAGAGCCTGRCTGACACTTCGTCTACTCGGTGTATTATCGCGTCCAGACTCGACCGTAGGCTGTCCTGTGACTGTTGTTAGCAGTCCCAGGCAGTAGGCCACGGTGCCTGAGTTGATGATCCCCTTGCTCTCGAACTGCTTCAATTTGGCTTGGAACAGCTCGTTCCACTTCTGCTCGACCAACCGAGTGGCGTATTTCCTCGCAAAGCGCACGATGGCATCCTGTGTGAACATGTCGCTCATCGGCTGCTCCAGCTCAAGATGTTGGTTGAGCAACTCATTGAAGTCTTGTGTAGCCGGGTCTATACCCATGACAGTTTGCTCGCGTCGCTGGCACTGAATTGACCAGGTCATGTCGGCTTCCTCCTCACTGTCACTGACCTCTTCCCCCGCCGGAACCCGCTGTTTGGACAGGGTCCGATAGAAGGAGATATTCTCCACCTCAGGAACCCGGTGCCGCTTTCGTGGCACCTCGGGCAGATCCAGAACGTCCTCTGGATTTCTAATAGTGGTCCTCGTCCGCCCGAGGAATATCGGAATGTGATCTGTCTGCCCTCCCTGCGCCCGCTTCTTGGGACTCTTTTGCGGGGTCTTCTTCGCCGACTTTTCCTTGGAGTGCGTGACAGCCCATGGCTTCGTACCTTTCAGGTGTGCCGCGATATCGAACGCCGAGTCTGGCGCTTGCCATTCAAATTCCTGATTTTGGCTGCTGGGACTGCTTGATTCATCTTCAGCTCGGCTGACGAAGATGACGGCGAGATTATCGTCAGACCGATCTGGGCTGATCTCAACCTGCAGGTGATCGTGATGTAAGGCGTAGTGAAGCATGAGCCGTTCCAGAGATGAGTGCTCAGCTCGCTCATGGCAACTCGATACGATGCAATGCAGTCCTTTCGCGGCCACGGACTTTTGGACATAGGCAGACAGCTGAGTCAAGTATTGGACGCGCATTTTGCGAGGTCTCTCGGAGTCGTCGGAAATACTAGGTGTGGGCAATTGCCGAGGGTCCTCTTGTTGTTGTAGCTGCCACGCTCGATTCCATGCGGCAAGAGGTTGACATTCTTGGTTCCAGACCATGTTCACCTCGGCTTCGTAGTCCAGCTTCACCAATTTCTTATTTTGCAAGCGGCGAAGATCTAGTAGTTCTCCAGACGCGGGAAGGTCAGGTAGTCCGTTCCAACGGATCTTCAGCTCGCCCTCGTTGCTGTGCATGTCCGCGTAGGTCGAGATTTCATGCCCTTCGAGCTGGCTCAAGAGTTCTGTGGAGCTGGTGAAGTCGTTGCACTGCACGCGGAACTGGACAGAAAATTTGGAGTCGTCTCGGGCCAACTTCCATCTGATTTTGCCTTTGCTGTCTTTGTACTCAACCATCACCTTTAGATTGCCCAGCGGAACCTCGAAGGGACTGTCCAGCGTGATCTCGAAAGATGGTTTCTTGGTCGGATGATCGTGGCGAATGACATGGCCATTCTTCGTTACGGAGTGGATCGTTCTCTTGGGCTCAGTCTGATACGTGAGTTTCAACGAGACCTGGCATGGAATCCTCCACTCGTCCTCACTAGGAAGCCAGTCCGGAGACCCTGCCCTGCCCGAACGAGTTCTGTGACAAGGCGCCTTCACTTTCGCGCTACCTTGGCGTCGCAAAATGAGCTTGTCGATGCGGATCGTAGGCTCGAGGCCCTTGATAATACCATCCAGCATGGCCGCGGAAGGAAATTCCCAAATTGTTGAATGTTCGTCGTTGCTACTCTCTCCGATGTGGCCGGAAGGATCATGCCCTCTTTCAAGTAATAAATCGTATTGTTGGATGTCCAGCACACGGCGCAAATTCCGGCGCAGATACGGCACTGCAAAATAAGGTGCTGTTATTGAGCGCGTTTTTTCGTATTGTGCAGTTCCCAGAAAACGGCGGCGTATCTCATTCACCAGCATTGCGTGCTTGGAAGGTTGAGATTATAAGGTGAACGCTGTGGCACATGTAACGGTGATCAGAGGTTGTGTTCATCATGAAGGCGTCGAGGGCGTGACTTTGAGTTATTGGGAGACGCGTCGTTTGGCCTGCAGGTTGCCGTGAGGACGCTTCACCAAAGAGCACGGATTATGCACTGAGGTTTACGCCCGCGCGGGTCGAGTGGTCGAAGAGTCGACGGGTGCAAGATTCTGTGGTTCCATGCACAATCCTACGACGAACTCCGGACATGCGCATCGCTATAGGTCGGTGCCGTGAAAGCTTGCATTGGAGTGAGGTGGAAGGCGTGAAAGGCGGCCCGAGCTTTCGGTTTGATAAACATCAAAACTCGATGGACGCCTACATACAAATGATGGAGGCTTTCATACATCAATACATCACACACCGCGAAGACTCTGAATCATTGCAATCATTCATGCGCTTCCTCATTTCCCAGCTACTAGAAGACGCCTTTGAACGCCGTTGTGAAGGCTGCTTAACACGATCTGGCCTTCCCATTCTGGTGCTGCCGCAGCCCCATTAATCGCAACGCAGCAGTCTGTGTCGGAGAAGAGAGAGCCGCGGTGATCCACGCGCGTACCTCGCGTCCGAACCTTCTACCCGAAAGCAAGCAATCTAGCATGCAGTGAACGCTTCAAAGCAGCGTTCCAATCAATTCCTGCCTCATCCAACTTTCAGCCTCTCGCTGCCGAAATGTGAAAATGTCGTAATCCGCTGCCCGTTTAGCAGCAGCCGCCAGCGCTACCGGACTGCACATTGGAGCCCTGGCCAACCTGTACGGTGGGCTTGTTGTTGACCGTCGTGTTGCCCATGCGCTCCTTGATTTGACGAGCCATGGTGAGGAAAGCCTGCTCGACGTTGTTGGCGTTCTTGGCAGAGGTCTCGAGGAAGGGAATGCCCAAGCTGTCGGCGAATTCCTGCGTATCTGGTCAGCTCCATATCCTCTYTCCCTTTCCGACCGTTCTTCGACACACCTTTGCCACAGCGTACTCAACCACCTTCTTGTCCGCCATATCGCTCTTGTTACCCACGAGAAGCTTGTTCACACCCTCTGTGGCGTAGCGGTCGATCTCCTGCAGCCACTGCTTCACGTTGTTGAACGAGTCCATGTCGGTGACATCGTAGACAACGCAAATACCGTGGGCGCCGCGGTAGTAGGACGATGTGATGGTGCGGAAACGCTCTTGACCGGCGGTATCCCACTGTGTCTCCATTAGCCTTCCCCTTCTCGCCCTCTATTGTACTTGGCGCGACATACGATCTGGAGCTTCACGGTCTTGCCATCGAGCTCGATAGTGCGAATCTTGAAGTCGACGCCGATAGTGGAAATGTAGGACTCGGTGTAGGTGTCATCGGCGAATCGGAGCAACAGGCAGGACTTTCCCACACCGGAATCTCCGATGAGGAGGAGCTTGAAGAGGTAGTCGTATCTAGAGTGAACATTAAAGTCAGTAACCAGTTCTGCTCTCCATGTGTCCATTACACGGCGGTCGCTGGAGAACGATTCGAGAAGGCTGGAAACGGCCTCGGGCATGTCGAGTCCTCTAGGTATGCGCTGCGACGGCCCTCGTGGATGTGGGGGTGGTAAGTGAGCAACGGGTGGAACGCTGAGGCCGGAAATGTGGCTCGAAGACGGGTCCTGGTCCTCGAAGGTAGAGCCTAGTGGTGGCACCGACCCGGTCTGGAGGAAGCCCATAGTTCCTGGAGGATGTAGTTGTACATCCACGAGCTGCGCGGCYCGTGCATAGAAGAAGGAATAGCATTATGACTCTGTGACACAGATGTTATCAGCATTTCATCCCAAACCTCACCCAGGCAGCCTTCACCCGGCCAGCAGGCGCACTCACTACTCAGGGTTCATGTTGGCGGTCGTAACAGCGATAGCGTCGATGACGAGGGCCGCGCGCGCGAAAGAAGATTGAATCGGTGGGGAGTATTGGCGGTGTCAGTGGGGCTGACAAGTGAGGAGATCGGTCGTGATGTGCGGTGGTTGAAGTTGTGGCGGAGATGGTGGTGCTTGTTCCTTCCCTAGGCTGGAGTACTGCGCTTTCCAACGGGAGTAGTCATCAACTTTGACAGATGATCACAACGAGAACACGTGCTGCACCTTTGTCTCGAACCACAACAGGTGGCGAAATCACGAGCTGCCGTCATTGCATTTCTTGAGACTGCTTCATATGTCTATTTTCACTGAGCATGGTCATGAGTTTATCTATGTACTGTCTTGACTCGCGCTATGGCCCACTCGCTCAATCTTCATCTTCACTTGACCTGCCTTCGAATTCATGCTCGTACGTCCCATATACAATTTCCCATCCAAACTCCCAAATGACATCGGAGACAAAGACAAACCTGCAGCGTCCTGCCCCCGTTCATTCAGATCGCAAACACATCTCGCTGCTATTGCCATCTGCTATTGGTTGATGCGGCGTCCTGTGCCAAGAGAGTCGTCGCTGAGCGGAGATTTCCCCTCTGTACTCACAACAGGCTCCACGCCGTCTTACCTCCATCCCGGGTTCGGAGGCGGAGCTTGATGTTGCTGATGACCATACCCTCCTTGCTGCGGCTGCCCGCCATAACCGCCCTGCTGCGGCTGTCCATATGCCTGATACTGACCTTGCTGGTCATGTGGAGGACCTCCTTGCTGTTGGTAGCCATAACCGCTTGGTCGTTGATCGTAACCTTGAGGTGCTCCGTAACCTCCTCCATGCGACTGTCCGTACTGCTGTTGCGGAGGCTGATGCTGCTGGCCATACGGGGCATTGTGAGGAGTGCCATGTTGGCTGTGCTGTGGCTGTCCATAAGGCGAAGGGTGCTGCTGCTGGCCATAGCCTTGTTGGCCTTGTGGATTGTAAGCGCCACTGGATGGACCGTACTGGCCCTGCGGAGCGCCTGGCTGATGTTGAGGCTGGTGCTGCTGTTGGTGACTTGGCGTGCTGTGGCCACTGGCGTGCTGGCTGTATGCAGCTGGAGTGGTGCTATGAGATCCCATGTGAGATCCTGATGGCTGGTACGAAGCTGCTGGGGCAGAGCCGGTGTATGTGCCTGAAGACTGGTTCTGCGAGTATCCATATGGATTTGATCCTCCACTTTGTGGCTTATTCTTGCCACCGCCCAAGAAGCTGCTAGCCATTGAGCCTAGTTGTCCAAGGCCTCCGCCGCTGGAGGAATGTCCTGACTGCCCATGTTGTCCCCCGTGCTGTCCACCCTGCTGTCCACCCAAGAATGACTGTGCCAATCCTCCAAGTCCTCCAGAACTGGAGTGGCCTTGCTGATTCGAGCCACCATGTGAAGATGACGAGCCACCCAGGAAGGATTGGGCCAAACCTCCCAGTCCTCCGGAAGAGGAGCTCTGCTTGTTGCTGCCAAGAACAGAGTTCAATAGTGAGCCCTGTGAGACATTGCAATTAGCGCACGTATTCCGTGCAAAAGTTGCTCCTGTCGTCACACACCCCAAAACCTCTGTCGCTCTCTTGTCCGCCAACGCCACGCGTGCCTTCATCCGGCGTTGAGTAGGGGTTTCCACCGGCTGGTGTACTTCCAGGCGTAGGAACGTGCGGTGCCGCCATCGTTGGAACCTCCCAAGTCGACTCGCCAGTGCTTATCTGGACGAAGTAATACTTTCTTGTTCTTGGGAAGTGGTCAGCGCAAGAAAGAGTTGTTGAAGATGTCACAGTGCCCCGGTCAAGCAGGCGCAGCAGCTGAGCTTTGTCTCAACCCCACGGCTGGACACYGAATCAAAATGGCCAGCACAGCAGCTGATGACCTTCGTCTGTACGCTCTGGGGCTCACTAACTTTCCATCAAATTGGGCAATCCTTTACGACACGTTCACGTCAGTGCCGAGCGCAAACAATTGGGCGGGCGACGAACCATCCAGGCGGCAATGGTGGCGGAGCGTGGTCAGGCCCATGATCACCCGGCGTGCCGGGCGGGTCCTCMATGCTGCGAGTGGCAGAGGATAGGTCTTCAATGCAGTTGTTGTTAGCCTTCTTTTCCGAACGGTGACAATAGTACGGGCAAAGTTAGGACAAATCGGGACCAAATGATGTTTGTGATAGTGGGCTTGATAGGGAAAGAGAACTCGGCATGTATTTAAAGAAATACCACTAATTGGAAGAATGACAACATTCGGATCGAAACACTGCTCCTCCACTACTGGCCGATATCCCTGTCATCAGGCGCACATCTCATCGTTAGCTGACACCCTTTGCTGCCCGAAATTCATTGTAATTTGTGGCTGTGTAGTACTCTAGAGCGCGAAGCTAGCATATCCGGGCCCGCAATCCCAGATGCTTTATATAGTCGGCATTAGCGACGAGTGTGGGGATGCATCTTCGCGACAGAGTATGTGGGTTTGAGATGTGAGGGACATCAGTGGTATTGTTGATCGCTTTACTTTAGCTCAGGCACACAAAAAGAAAACACAACATCAATCGCGCCAGCAGTGGCACGAAGGGCTAGCTAGCCCATGCCCTGGGGTATACCGTCATTTTTGCAGAAGGCTCTGTTTCAGCCAAAATATGCTCACATCGCCAACTGCGCCAGCCCGCGAACATTTGAGCCACCTTTGCCAATCCCCTTCATGCTTGCTGRGCATTCGTACTCGCCGTCTAGTACTCGGCCTCGCCAGCCTCGTCACCCTCAGCCGAGTCGGCCGCAACCTCCTCGTAATCGCGCTCAAGCGCAGCCAAGTCCTCACGGGCCTCCGAGAACTCGCCTTCCTCCATACCCTCACCGACATACCAGTGCACAAAGGCGCGCTTGCTGTACATGAGATCGAACTTGTGTGACAGAGCGGACCAGGCCTCAGCGATGGCAGTGGTGTTGGACAACATGCAGACGGCGCGGTTAACCTTGGCCAGATCGCCGTTGGGCACGTTCTGGGGTGGCTGGTAGCAGATACCAATCTTGAAGCCAGTGGGGCACCAGTCGACGAACTGGATCGTGCGCTTGGTCTTGAGGGTGGCGACAGCCTGGTGGACGTCCTTGGGAACGACATCTCCACGGTACAAGAGGCAGGTTGCCATGTACTTGCCGTTGCGTGGGTCACACTTGACCATCTGGCTGTTGGGCTCGAAGCAAGACATGCTGATCTCCTGCACGCTGTTGGCCTCGTGGGCGGCCTTGGCAGCGGAGWCGATGGGTGCGTAGGCGACCAGTGGGAAGTGGATACGTGGGTATGGCAYCAAGTTGGTCTGGAACTCGTTGAGATCGACGTTGAGCGATCCGTCGAAGCGAAGAGAAGCAGTGATGGAGGAAACGACCTGAGCAATCAGGCGGTTCAAGTTCTCGTAGTTGGGGCGCTCAATGCCCAAGTTGCGACGGCAGATGTCGTAGATCGCCTCGTTGTCGACCATGAAGGAGCAGTCACTGTGCTCGAGAGTGGTGTGCGTGGTCAAGATGGAGTTGTATGGCTCAACCACAGAGGTAGCGACCTGCGGCGCAGGGTAGACACAGAACTCGAGCTTGCACTTCTTTCCGTAGTCGACGGAGAGACGCTCCATGAGGAGAGCACCGAAACCGGAGCCAGTGCCTCCGCCGAAGCTGTGGAAGACGAGGAAACCCTGKAGACCGGAGCAGTTGTCGGCAACGTGACGGACCTTGTCCAAAACCTGGTCAATGAGCTCCTTGCCCACAGTGTAGTGACCACGGGCGTAGTTGTTCGAGGCATCCTCCTTGCCAGTGATCATCAATTCAGGGTGGAACAGACTGCGGTAGGTACCGGTGCGGACCTCGTCGACGACGTTGGGCTCGAGATCGGCGTAAATGGTGCGTGGCACGTACTTGCCATTGCCTGAAAGAGTCAGCATGTGGATTGAGGTTTGATCGGAGGTCATGTACCAGTCTCGGAGAAGAAAGTTGAGAAACCGTGATCGTCCTCGGCGGCCTTGCGCTCCTCGGTGAGGTAACCATCGGGCTGCAGGTTGTCAGTATACGATTGTTACATGAAGATGGCGAGATGTTCTCACCTGGATGCCGTGCTCAAGGCAGTACAGCTGCATCAATCCATGTCAGTATTTGTCCGATATCCAATTCTCTAGGCACCCCCAATTCGGCCTGTTTCTGGTCCATTGCAGCGTCCTTGGGGCTTCCCACGCGAGCAGACTAACCTCCCAGCAGCTGTTGGCGATCTGGCAACCGGCCTGGCCGACTATACGCGTCGCGAGTCAGCATATATTCATGTGTGGGAGTGCCGCGGTGACGAGGCGGTCAAGGCGCGCGCTTCTAGGGGTTCAGGTAAACATACCGTTCAATGAGATGACCTCACGCATAGCGGCGGTCGTAGATTTGTTGGGGAGGTTGAGGGTGACTCTTGTCGAGGAGAGATGCTGGAGAGGTGAACGCGGTGGGCGACTTGGTGGATGAGTTGTTTATGTCGAGCCTGAATGAAAGGTGCGAACGAGGGGTGATTTCGAACAGGGCAGTCGCGCTAAAATGGTTAAGGGCAAAGCACTTGCATTGTGCTTGGACCATCTACAGCACCTCACTTCTCAACACATCTCCCATATACATTGGAAGAGCTGAGGGGAGTATTCAATCATTGCTCGAGTGAAAGCAACGTCACGTAGATGCCATTGTAATGATTGAAAACGCGGAGTTGTGACACAGGAATCCTCCCTCGTGCCTTCTTCTGGGCCTCGACCTCTCCCTCACCATGAGATTCCTGGCTCTGTTTGCGCTCCTCGTGCACGCATCGTTCGCAAACACCGAGMAAAGCATATTCATTGCACCGCCGGCCATCGAACTGCCTGCTGCTGCCCCGACTCTGGAGCATCTGAGACTCCAAACACTTTCATCCGCCACTCCAATCCTTCGTACAGCACTCCCCGTAGCATTTCCTACTCAGGGCAACCCAAAAGGCCGTGAGTCGTGGTACTTACTGCAGAACTTGAACGAAGGCCAGAGATACGAAGTGCGAGTCTGCTGGGCTGCCATTGTACGTCAATCCTCTTGTCTGTGCTACCTTCCCAGCTGACATCAACATCAACACAGCAACCAACCGACTTTTGGCTCGACGTCTACAACATCACACATGTTTTTGACGCGCCTCATCTGATTCAGAGCCTTTCCGCCTTTGTCGACGAGCAACTGCTTTATTCGGAGGCAAACATCGACATTCCCTCATCCTCAACCACAAACGACATTTCAGGCAGTGTTTTGTTTCTACACATCCACGCGACCGCAGACTTCTTCACCACCAACAAGACTTTAATGCAAAGTCCCCCTCGCGTGAGTGTCGACATCATCCTTGATCCGTATCTGGCAAACATATTTCCAACGTCATTGCTCCCCACCGTGGTCTACATAGTCATACTGGCTGTTGGCGCCTGGCTCGTTTCCGGTAGAATCTGGAATCTTCTCCAACCCAGGTTTTCAAGGAAGCAACGAACGGACTGATCGATCATGTCCGCCGCCAATGAACATGATGAGGTGCCTGCCGCAACCAGGGCCGAAGATGGGACCGATCGGATTGGAAGCTCTCCCCCGCTCGTTGGGGACCCCACGGCAACTGAAGGCCCCTCGACCACTGAAGATTCTCCAATCACTGGAAACCCATCGACCACCGTCACGTCGGTGATCGCACAGCCACAGCTACGACACCCTTTCTACACGCTTCCAGCAGAGTTGATACTCGATATTGTGGACTATCTTCCAGCTGATGCTTTCATCAACTTTGCTTTCGCCAACTACCCGCTACTGAACTCCTATGGACTGGCTCCTGCCCTGTCTCGGCCACGCATCTTGTACATAACAACGCGGACGCGTATTCCTGCCTTGTTCCCACTTCTGCGTATGCCTCCGGAGATCATGTAAGTGTAACTCTGTTAGAAGGGAAAGGCACACAGCTGACGATCAAGCAAGGCTCCATATCATGCGCCACCTTAAGCCCATCGATATCATGCGCTTTGTAGTGGCCAACTACCAGGACTTGGCTCGTCAGGGAATCGCACCTGCATTGACCCCCGAGACAATTTTACAGTTGCGCAACGCAATCAGAGTGCGTCTCCTGGGTGGAGCAACAGGAGATGCGTCGTAAGACTCGCAGAAGGTGGGTATTATCAATCATCTGATCTGCACTACCGGTTGATGGAAGCTAGACGCTTTCCAGTCGATCCTCACGAAACATTGTGATGGGGAAGTGGACATTGGATCTTATTCCAGCTGGCTTCAACGTCATGATAGAGGCAATCAATGTAGCATCAGGTGGATGCATTCCCATAATCGCGCCTGAACAGAGACGGATGGGTATCGGTCAGTCCTGTTCGGCATACTACCTTGGCGAGATCCGGGCACGCGTTCATTGAAGCTGTGTGAGACTAGTCCGACTCTTTGCAGGTCATCACAGAGTTGTAGCGCTCGGCATGAGCTTCACACAGATGTATCTCGCAAACTTCATGTACTACTGGAGCTTTCAAGTTCAGGCTAGCCTGTTCGCTGTGAAGGAGAACCCCAAGGGTGTTGCTGGTGAGCAAAGGAAGTCAAGAAACCCAGAAAAAAATATCATCAGCTCTGCAGTCACTGTTGGTAGCAGTGTCGGCCTGCTTTCCCAACTTCTTTATCAATTCAACATTCAAGAGTGTCTTTCTATTTAGTCTGCCCGAACAATGACCAACCCTCAATCAACACCGCCATCACGTGGAGCATCTCCCACGTAGTTCACCCACCAGCTGATAGTCAGACCCTCCCCATCCCGCAATCGTCTTTTAACACTTGACCAGTTTCCTTCCTCGCCATCAACACGCTCATCATCCTCCCCAATCCGTGCGTCCATCTCGAAACTCTGCATGCCGGGGATGAGAGCGCCCGGCCAGCTATTGTCACTCCACTTCTCCAGATGAGGAAAATGATGTTCCAGAGCCTGTCGTCYGAATGCCTGTTTGAAGGAGGCAAAGTTGCAACGAAGAGTAATATGCAGGAGCATGTTGCACAGGAAGACATTGGGTTGTCTTGTGTTGGGGCCGTCTGAGACGTAGCGCGAGAAGATTTTAATCTCGAATGGTTGTAAGTCTGGGTCGGACGACATTGGGGTGGAGTTGCCATCTGGACGTTCCATGTCTTGAAACTGATGAACGTTTACGCCTTCTTGTGCTATTGAGCTGGCAGAGGACACTGCGCCATCTTGTGCACTCGAGCTTCTAGAGGACTGTCTGGGTCAACATATCGAGCTCAAGGTTTGGAAAGCCGCAGAACCATACTGAGTAGTTGGCATCGCTGTTGTGAGACATGTTGATGAGAGATGGGTGTCCAGTGTCGTTGCCTCGCTTCTGTTGTTTTACTGTTGATCGGGATAGGCAGCGAGTGCTGAATGGRCACGCTGTAGCGGCGGATTACGTAGTGATTAGAATGCTCGCTGTAACAGAATGTTGGCGTATGGATTGCTTGGTGTAAAGATCCAGAGTAATGTGTTTCGCGAAGGTGAGAAAAGGCATGGATGCATGGTTTCCTTGAAGATTGGTTGGAAAGCTGACTACAAGCAATTCCTCGCAAAGACATGGAAGGAGAGCTCGGGATGCAAAGCAATTTCCAACCTCCTCAAGCACCAGTCGAGCCTGCACGAATCTCATCCATAGTCCGAATCTGCCTGCCCGCATCGTCAAAATTGTCTCYCAGGAGCCATCGCTCTAGCGTCTCATTCACAAGCGGCCACTCGTCTTCAATGATGCTCAGCCAGTCCGAGTCTCGTGAACGACCTTTGACAATCATATGGGATCGGAAGGTGCCTTCATACTTGAACCCAATTCGTTCCGCTGCACGGCGAGAAGCCCTGTTCAGCGAGTTGCACTTCCACGCAATGCGTCGGTAGCTTGGTGAGGCTTCACAGACATTCTTCAGCATCAGATACATCACTTCCGTTGCAGCGGCTGAGCGTTGCAAGATTTTGCTGAACAAGACGGCACCTATCTCCACGTCTCTGTTCGTAGGAGAGATGTTCAGGTACGCAATGATGCCTACAGTTTCGTCATGGCTCCGGTTTGATCGACCCTCCGGCGTGGGATTGACATGCCGCGGATTGGCCTTGATGGCATAGATGCAAAAGCCTCGTTCTGCTTGCGCGTCCTCCAGTAGAGCCCACAATTCCTCTGGTGAGTCAGGCCGTGACCAGGGTAGATAGTTCAACAGGTCAGCTCCTTCTCCGTGKAGATCKMGGT